ATTTACATTCTTAGAATTCTTTGTACAGGACTCTTTTCTGGGTGTATGTTGAAAGAATGGAGTGTCACTTTTAGGTCACATGATTTATTGGGATGTTTTCATGCCTTGGGAAATTGAATTAAAATATTAACTTAATTGAAAACATTTGTTTCAAATTAAGATAGCTTCTGCCTCATTTTCCCTAAATGACTTACTCCTTAGATGCCTTAGCGGGACAAAATTGAAAGAATGGCTACAAAAACGGTGAGACTTGGGATTACAGGAAAATGGTAGTTTAAGTAGGAAGACATTTCTCCAGAATGTACCAGGAAACACTTCCTGAGATGACTGAGTAAAGGTCTTCCTGATTGTGGGGATGCCACAGTTTCAGTTCTGTTTATTGTTTCAAATCATTCATGTTGGACACTAGAATGTTTGGAGATTCAGTATTTTCCTTATTCATTGAGCCATAATTAAGAACCTTTGACTTAAGACATTGTGTTTAGCGCTTACTCTGCGGTGGGTTTTAGATAACAAAAGTGCAGAACTCTAGTTTTACTTGGCCAGCTGAGATCTCTCACTCATTTCCTCCAGCCTTTTTTTCCCTTACAAAGTGATTTCTGCTTCTGTAGCTGGGGCCGCGTGGAAAAACTGCAATAACTTGGGATCAGTGTTTTGGTGCTACCATGTGAGTCCCTGAAAGACAAAGACTTGTTTGTGCAGCTTGTCAGAGCAGTCACTTCTTCTGTAAAGAGAAATATAGCTGAGTTTAAGGTCTGAGCAGGCGTTTCTGTCAAACAAACCGACCTCACAGCAGTCCAGACGAAAAGTCCAGAGGACCATGTCTCAGGGGGAGGGTAAACAAAGGCAGAGTGTTTGACAGGGGCTCTGCTTTAACACATTACTGACTGCCATAGGTTAAATTTCTCATTTCATATACAGTCTCCCTGGAATACTACGCATCATAGTATCCCAGTGACTATATGAACAAATATTCCATGTAGACTGAATGGTATAAGGATATATTAAAAAATGTTTTGCTGCCAATTCTCATTGTTGTCGGACACTGTGGTCACTACATTCTTAAAAAAAGTGTGCTATATATGTGGTATATGCTCCTGTATGTGTATCAAGGGTTTTCTCTCAACTGAGGCTTTCCTCTGGAAGAAAATAAACAGATCCGGAGTCTGATTCCATTTGTAAAAGTGAAAAATATTTAATAAATATTGGACACTTTTTTATTTTAACAGAAGGCGTGCATTCATTCATTTCTTTTTCCTGGAAAATGTCCTTCTAATAGCCTGTCACAAAAGTATTTAACACAAACACCTACCAGCAGTCAAAGAGCTGAATGAATGACATATGATTTTTTACTTTAGACCTAGTATGTTTAGAGTAAGATGAGCAAAGGTATGCGTTCAGACAGGATATTTGGTTATGATTGACAACATCTAGTCTGAAAATTTCTGTCACATCTGCTTGAGTTCTGGGTTCAAAAGCAACACAGCAAATGTATTAAATGGCTTCAGGTCTGGAAGCTATTGGGAGTCGTCGTGCTAAGTCCTGTTTTACACTAATTTGTGACTCATGGTGTCACGCTTTTTTTTTTTTTTTAATACAGTGGTTTTTGACTACAGTGTTTTTTTTAATACAGTGGTTTGTCATCCACTGAAGTGCAGTATGGCTAAACTCTCACTGCTACCTGTGGTTGCATTGATTTACTAAAAATGATGCTGTCCCTGATGCAATGAGCCAGTCTAAAACTGAAATGCACATCTGCGCCACAGCTGGATTTAGGTTATTGAAGTTAGAGGCACCGGTGGAGGCGTGGACTAGTGTGTGTTGCATATGGTCAAGTAATCCCAGCCTATTTTCTTTTTAGATATACGCCCCCCCTCCGTATCTGTGTCAGTCCATCTGGTTGATGTTAAAAGCACCACTCAGCAGAAGTAACTTTGGAGTAAAATTTTATTCTCAGAGATAGTTTTTCTCTTAGTAGAGTTTTATTTTAAGATTTAGGTAGACTTCTTTCATTTTTTTATTTTTATTGAATTGTTTTAAGTTTTTGAATTAATGTTATGAGTGCTTTTTAGTCTACATTTCAGGACTTTGTCACAATTTGGTTAGGGGCAGACAAGTTTATTCCATAAATCAAAAGCTGGGCTCACAGTTTATTCTTTTCCATGATGATATGAACATACTTGCAGCACAGAAGGTTTTTTCCAAATCCCAATTCACCATTCATGCTATGATTGTGACCAGGTGGGCAGCAGTGACCCTTGTTTTCATTCCTAACACATTTCATGCTGCCAATTTGAGTGAAAAGGGGGAAACACTTTGGAAGAGAAACTGCCTGAAAATGTGCTTCTTTTTTTAAGATTGTGTCACCCATTTTAGACCATAGAACTTTAACTCCATATTTGAATGTGGAAATCATTTAACAGCAACAGTAGAGTTTAAGCAGGTTTGTTTCTTCAATCTAAATTTCTCATTGTATATTTTTTGTTTTGAAAGATTACACCTCTGGTGGTTAAGGGAGTATAATAGGAGCAGAATGCAGTATGTGTGACTGAGTCAAAACAAACAAGGAACAATGGAGCTCTATGTCACAGAGGAATAAGATATTTCAGGCTTTGGCAACAGATGATAATTGTCAGTATGATCAATTCTATGCTGTCCCAAGTTATTGGCTGAGTAGAGCTCCAGTCTTGAGTTGATGGTTTTTCAGTATTCTTAGCAGCTTGTTTGTACCCCTTATGGGTCATTTCAAAAGTCTTGACACAAAACAGTCGTCAGGGGATTTAGAGTAGAGTGGAGGGAAGGAGGTCAGGAAAGGGCAATGGGGATGACAGTACCAGGCATTAGTGTAAATTTAGCAGGGGAACTAACCTGCTCAGGAATGTGTGTAGTGCTCACTCCTCCACTCCCTGCAGGTCACCTACGCTGTGTCATCAGTCATAACTACTCCTCCTGGATGCTTGGCTTGAGTGTTGGCCTCTCATATTTGGGCATTTCTCTGGAGTTTCAGGTCAGAAAATTCTTTATGGCTGACCTGATCATCACTGATGCGAAAGCAAGTGGAAAATTTCTGAGCGTGAATGGTCCGGATTTACAATCATGAAGAACAGAAATTTCTTCAGCGATATAGTTGGACACTTATTAAATTCCAGATTTCTCCGAACTTTCCCAAAATGGCCCACGATGACCTGCATGTAATGTAAGATGTCCTTTTTACACAGCACTATGGTGGATTTCTTGTTAAACGTATAATTCCACATTTCATTTTGCTTTTATCAGATGACACCATGGAAATGAGCAGCTTCAACTACGCCTACGAACTGATTTATTTTATCTTAAAATGATTTAATCTTGCTTCTGTCTGCTCCTCTAGACAATTTGGAGCCAAAAGACTAGACAGGGGAAAGTCCGCTGGACTTCACTGTAATGTAGCTGTTACTGCAGTTCCTCCCTACATGGAAGTTATTGTTCTTTGCATTCACAGGAAAAATATTTACAGTTTCAGCAACAATCCTGATTTATTGTTGTTGGGATGAGCCGGAGGATTTCTCCCAATAAGCAGCTGACTAAATACAGCCTTCACCCTGGTCAGGGTGAATGATAGTTTCCCATCAAATTAGGGAAATACCTGTGGAGGAAAACAGGCCTGCAAGACGTGTATCTGCGGTGCTCCTCCTGACCTCAGTCCTCACGGGAACCTTAAAGTCGAATTGGAGAGCAGGTTGTTTTGTTTTTCAACATTTGTATTTTAATTTTCTCTAAAATCCCGTACACCATAAACACTGTATGATATTTTGGGAGAAATTACTGTTGAAGTAATTACTGTGGAAGCACTTAAGTTTTTGTCTTTTAAGAGCAGAGGGAAGCACACATATTGAGGCCGTTAGTTTAATTACTTTCTTAATGCCCGTTTCTTACCCCACTGGGTATGACTTTGTGACCCCACAGAGGGAGGAAATGAAGCATAGCTTGTGGTCCCCCCCCTCTCCCTCTTGTACCATGGGATGTCTGAACAAGCAAGGCTTCTGTTTTAATCCTGTTGGCTCTCCATATACTGTATACTGTCCCCATTTCTTCAAATCAGATTGTGTTTGAAGTAATAAGTGGCCAGAGCAAGTAGTGGACAGACATGTGATAAGTGTTTGTATTCAGTGGTCATGGGGATACTGTCCAACTTTGCTGTGGAAGTTTAAGATGCCACGCATGCCAACACTACAAGGCCTGAGACCCCCAGGAGAATAGTACCATTATTCTACATAGGAGCCTGCCCATGAGCACCCGTGACTGCCTGGGCGCCGGAAATAAGGCCTGCTGGATAATAAGTCCAGGAGATCACTTTGTTTTTTGTTTCTGAGGCTGCCGATCGGCTGGTGCACAGACTGCCGGGTTAATTGAATGCAGAGGTCATTTTGAAAGAAAGAATGAGACCTTGTACCATATTATAATAAGATTAGCAACAACGCAATGAGTTCGTCTTTCTTGTTGTTGTTGATTTTGAATGGAGAATTTTAATTTCCCTGCAAGTTTCTAAGATGCCTTTTCCCCTACATATCATTACAGCTCCTAAAACATGATGTTACCAATTTTGTCATTTGTCCACCTACATGTAGGGAGTGGGTCTCTTCTGTTTTGCTGCACATGTAGTGGTTGAAAAAATTTAGTCTTTTCAATACGGTTTACTTGGAGACTTCACATGTTGAAACAAACTGTTGTTATTTTCTGACAACTTTAGATATACACATCTGTCCTGGATACTGTGGTATATTGTAGGTATAGCCTTGTAGGAGCTCTTATTGATGTGGTATTTTTCTGTTCAGTCTAAATTTCATCTAAGGATTTTTAGTTGTGAAAAGTGCTGTAGTCTGGCTGTGAAGTCTTCAAATGTTGGCTTCCAGCACAATCTTTTCTTTCTTTATTGGTTCCGGCCAAGTCCTTAATTCTTTTCATTTTACTCACAAATTTCTTCTTTTAAAACAAACGTCTTTCTCCTTTCAGATTCATTGAGCACAAAAATGATGTCTGATGCCAGTGAGATGTTGGCAGCGGCCTTGGAGCAAATGGATGGAATCATTGCAGGTAACCACTGAACGCTTGGACTGTGAAAACTGTTCTTGTGCAAGTGGGCACAGTGTGCCGCTGGTAGTCACATCTGGATTTCAATAAATTGCAAACTAGAAATGCTACTTCCAATGGACTTCTTCCTCCCCCTCTTCCTTGCATTTTAACACTTGAATGTGCAGACAACTTTTTGAAACAGTTGTAAGTGCTTAGAATAAGTGTCTTTTCCTGCCTTCACAGCATTAGAGATTAGAGAGAGTTTCCATTGTCCCTACTGTAATAACAACTAATGATTATTCAAGCTCTATGAGTTTGGAATAAAAACTTGTGCTTTGGAGCTTTTGGCTGCACTTTGTATACTTGTGCGGCAGCAGATGAGCAGACCAGGCCTCAGACTTAGTCCCCACTTTCCGCTGATGTGTGTAATTATAGCACTGACCTTTCCAATGGGAGCGAGGCGAATGATCACATGTCATCCACCAGCCTCCCCCCTGTTTCCGCAGAAACCACAACCCTCATCAAGCCCCATTCCCTTGCTACTGTAAGGAAGCCACTATTGTCTGACTATATTTATTTTAATTCATTTAGCTCCATCGTTGTTAATGTGAGCCATCTTCATTATGGCTGACATTTAAGACAGATGGCGTAGAGTAGGCTGAAACCCATGAAAGGAATGTTTAGTCAACGCGCTGCTGCTTTCAATTCAAAGTTAGAATTGAAATATTGTTTCCATAGTTACAGAAAGACATTTGTCAGTATTTGCTCACACTGTGTTTGATGGACACTAAGAATGTGCTTTCCAAGTATGTTTGCAGGAGTGGAGAAACTCAGTAAGTATAGTGCCTCTGTTGTCATCTAGTTGGAAAAGTGGCTGAGTAATACATCCCCTATAACAGTCTGAGATGCATTAATAAAAAGATGTTCTCCAAAATTCCACAATTAGTTTTTGTCTTGCAATAAATTTTTGAAAGACTGAATCAGTTTCCACAGGAATTTTGCAGGCTGTTCCTTCAATGTTGCAGTTTTTCTTGTCTTTACATGCCAAATTTAGTGTTTTCAAATTTAAAAATATATTGATTTTCATTTTTTTATTTTTTCAACTCTTATTTCTTGGTATCCATTCACTATCAAATTCACAGCAGAAATATTTAATTTTCACACATCATAACAATGAACTTGGGCCCCTTCAGCCAGTGCTTAAGGGTTGTTTGAATGGTCATATGACGAATACTTATTGATATCTAAATGAAATAGGTTGGCCAGAATGGAGGGATAAAGCTAAAGAGAGAAACTGGGATTATACCTTATTTTTTTTACATCCATGGATAGCCAATCCATGGATGAGAGCATCCGAATCTGTTGCTTATTTGAAAAATGCTGAGCATAAGTATAGCAGTGGAAGTGTTTCTTCACCACAGCTCCTGTCTGCTCCTATAAGAGCGTAAAAGAACAGAATAAAGAAGGGTTCATCTCCAAGGCAGTATATGGACTGTATTCACACAATATAGAATATATTTAAACCGACATCACAAGCACCAGGAAACGGTTACACTTCATTTCCTAAGGGGGTATTCAGTTTGTTTAGACAATTACTGTATGCTGTTATGAGCAGTGACCTGTGTCTCTGTTAAGTAATAAGCAAAGAGCATGTCTGCCATGCTATTCTGAATGGTAATAAAATGCTCTGATTCTGATACTGGAGATTGGTCATGATGGTTTCAGTTTTTACATAATTCAGAGGGGCACTGTTATTCCACCTGACCGGTGAACCTTATCCAGTTTATTTACTTTACTCATTTTATGTCTCTTCATTGTTAGATTCCAAATATTAAAGTTACTAGAATTTGTGTTTCCTCAGATATTCCTCAGGTATTTTGTAGACCTCAGACTGTGTGAAATGACTATAAAAGTGGTTTATTAAAGATTGCGAGTATCTTAAAGAGCATACAGGTTTCTGGGGTCACTACCAACACAGTGCTCAGGAAAAAAACACAAAGTGCCTCTTTATTCTGGGTCTGAGATGATTTGAAGTAGTGAGCCATTCAGATTTACAAGGAAAAAAGTCAAACAAAGACATGACTCTCAACATCTCTTTTTTTTTAATCTCCCAACATTAAATTCAACTCATCTTGCATTTGTAGCCTTTAACAGGAAGGATTCATCAAAGATGTCATCAGCTAAAAGAAAGTTATTTCAAAATTTTAAGTCAAGGACAATGAAGTTATACCTGTTAAAGGAGTTTAAATGTCTATTTTAAGACCTCAGAACAGTGTGGGGAAGCGAAAGAAAAAAAGAATCCTTTAATGGAAAAACAAGGCAGCCTTTTTTAAATGCATTTACAAAGGCTTTACATACATAAGTCTTTTCTTTCATTGGGTAACTACAGCTGCACAGAAAACTTAGTTTTGGCTCTGCATCATGTTAACTCCCATCCCAATGATTCAAACTAAACAAAGCCTTGGCCATAAATCCTGAAGTCATATCATGCCTTTTGTAGTGTTAAAAACTAAACACATTTGAGTTTTATTTTGAGCTTCATACTGTTCTAATTAGTTATGTACCGTCATAACTTTGCCTTTTATGTGCAATTTTATCTGAAATGAAAATTTTGGAAACCAACCACTCACCCCCTCCCCTCTACTTCCCCACAGGCTCCAAGGCCATTGATTATTCTAATGGACTGTTTGACTGCCAGTCGCCCACATCTCCCTTCATGGGTGGCCTTCGGGTGCTGCATTTACTGGAGGACCTGCGAGCTGCATTGGAGCTAATGGACAATGAGGAGAGGGACAACCTGCGCTGCCAGATTCCAGATTCCACTGCAGAGGGACTGGCAGAGTGGCTTCAAGGACGAATGGTAAAAATAAAGAAAGAAAAAGGAAGGTTTCTTAGATGTAAACTTTCATTTAATTCATTTTTATGTTACCCTCCGACTTTAAATTGTAAGTCTTTGCCATTCCTATAGAGTAGTTTTTGTCATTCTAAATGTGTGGAATTGCATCAAAATTAAATATCAGATTCTTGGATTTTTTCTTTGAATTTGAGTCTGTGTATTGAGTTTCTTAGTGACAGCAAGCTTCCCATGTGTATCAGTCAGTAAAATCTGATATAAGTGAGTTTATGGGACACAGTCTTTTTTTTTTCTAATTTCTTATTAAGTTAGGCTGAGGAAAAGTGGAACCTAAGCTGCTGTTCTAACAGCAGGAGACCTCTGCCGACTCCTGACTGATGAAGTTGCAGTTTGGAGGAATGATGATAGCGGATGTGTCTTATAGTCATACTCGTCTGGGATTTTTTTTTTTTAACATCCGACTCAAGTTCATCCAAAGTGCTTCCTTAGGCTGTTAGACTTCAGTGCACTTCCTTTTCCTCTTCGATGTAAAATCATTTGACACAGCGCTTTGTGCAGGTTGTTGGAGTTTATCTGCTAAGGCTTCCCACCAAATAAGAGTGAAACTCTTGTTTCTCTTTCTTCATGGTCATCCCTGTCCATTTTTTTTAATGTTCGATAGAGTGTTTGCTTTTTTGAGAGTTAAAGCTACTTTTATATGAGAAAATAATTGACCCTCTCATATTTTCCAGAAAAGCCGACTTGTCAGGGAGTTGGTGCGATTATAGAGAAACTGTATGCAGTGTACCCAAATATTTCAACAGCTTTCATAGCGATTGTCTGCTTAAATAAAAAGTTTTTTTTTTTAAAACTAAATACCATTTACTTTTACCTTCTCAGTTTGCTTGAAATGTTGCATATCTGTCTGGATGCTGGTTCACAGCACTGATGGGCAGTGACCCAAAAAGTGCTCTGAAAGCAACCTATGAGCCTCCTAAGGCAAAGAAAGACATTTCTTCAGTCCGTTTCCAGACCCCAACTTGGCATAATTTTTGTTTTTTACTGTATCCAAAACTAAAGGTTGAGAGACGAGCAGTAACTGAAGGCAGAAAAGGCCAAGCAGAGGGCGAGCTCCATTTTTCAATTTCAAGCTTCTGGCACTAAATTGACCTTAAAAAGTTTAAACCAAGTAGTAAGACCAGTTATTGTATAAGTATAAGCTTACTATGAATAGTTTATGTAACTACCTTGAGGTTACAAAAAGAGGTGAGAGTATTAAAAAATTTTTACTTTTTGTTTGACCCCTTGAATTATTGTTGTCATGTATCTTGCACACCCTTTGTGATGGGAGTTGTCAAAATGATAAACTCTCCTCTTGTTCAAAGTATGTGAAAAATGTAATCCCTTTTTATGTAATTAAATTGTATCCAAAAAATACTAAAAGATGGTTTAAGGGCAAATTTTTCTGAAAAATAATTTAAACTATTTAATCGGACAACACAATTCATCACATATTGTTTCTTATTTCAGACCAATGTCCACAGCTCAGATGCCGCTTACCAAGAACGCCTGTCACGGCTGGAGAGCGACAAAGAGTGTCTCATTCTTCAGGTTTGTGAGCAAAACTCTTAATCACTGCTCCAAAATATAGCATTTATTCTTGGATGTGCAAATCTTCTCTTGTGTAATTAACCTCTGACACTGAGGTTGCGGTTTCTTTTATTTACTTGGAAAGCAACGGATGATTTGTTCTCCATCTACTGTTAAAGCTGTATTTTCATCATGATTCATTTTATAAAAGTATTTTGAAGGTGGACTTATAAATCCCCCCCATATACATTATCATGCACAAATCTACTCTTTGTGCATTCATATAAAATGTTATGGTGTTTTTCTTGTAAAAATGTATCCTTCCCACCTTAAATAACCATGTTTGATTTAATTGTTTAATACAATTAAAAAACAAAACAATTAATAGTTTTGACCCATCATTTTAATTGAATCTTTTACCATTGTCCAGGTGAGTGTTTTGACAGACCAGGTGGAGGTGCAAGGTGAAAAGATTCGGGATTTGGACAACAACTTGGAGCATCATCGGGAGAAACTAAATGCTGCTGAGGAGCTTCTGCAACAGGTACTGCCTGTGCACATTTTCTACACACTCTAATCATAGTGACTTTAGATTAATGCTGTTGTTTGAGACCAATAAAAGATTAGATAAATACATAAAAAGAAAACTCCCATCTTTCCTTTTCAAATGTCGGCTTTACTAAGTGTGAGTGCTGCTGTTTAGGAGCTGCTGAACCGGACTGCTTTGGAGACCCAGAAGCTTGAGTTGATGACCGAAGTGTCCAGCCTGAAGCTGAAGCTCACTGCTCTGGAGAGAGACCACAGGAGCAGTGAGGTAGGCCCTCAACCACAAAATGTGCTCCTCTGCCGGCTGAACGTGCAGCAGATGGTGTGGATTTCTCTTCCACCTGCATCGTGTGACTTCCCTTCCTGGCAGCCACCCAGTCATTGTTTTAAAGTCACAAAGGTCTGTCTCACTCGGCTGGAGGACCAGGATCTGTCATGTGGAGCTGGTTGAACCTCTCTAAGGGTTACAAAAAGAAACTTAGAAGCCCCTTTACTCCCGCAGCTGTTTCCTGCCAGAATACCCCCACTCACCGAACCCCCCCCTCTGCAGAGTGGAGCGTATGGTTTCCATGCTCTGTTTTTATTAGTCACGACAGAATATTCACTTCCAGACACTAAGAGCACATGGGGAGTAGATGGATTTTTACATATTTATTTTTCTCCTCACTAGAACTTCAAATAAGATTGAAAAATATTCATATCGGTCCAATCTAAGAAATCCTGACATGCTATGACAGAGGTACTTGTTTAACCTTCAGCAAAGGCAAGTTTTTGGAGTAGAGTGTTTAGTAACACATCATCATAGTGAGACACCTTTGGGTTGTTACTAAATATCCATGATCTGTTGAAAGGATCTGAAATGGAGATATAAATATATCTGAAATATAGATATTATGCCATTATCTTTTACCAGTACACAATGATTGGTTTACGTTTTATCTGAAGAATTATAGTTAAAATTTTCTGCATGATCTATGATGCATGAGAGGTTCATGACCTACCAGAGGATCCAAGCTGTAATGTACCCCTACACTGTCTCAAGTTTTATGAAACGGTAATTTAGAATAAAATGTCAGAACTGGTCAGACATACTCCCTGTTTTTCTGGTCTGTGAGAAGACTCGAGCTGCAGCTGTGCGATCAAACTTTAGGAAGAGGATCATTTTTGGTTCTGCCACTGAAGTGGATCACTGTTTTTATTCCAAAGTGCATGCAACCGAAAGTACTGCATAAATTGTGGACCTTCAGCTCCTTGTAGTACATCATAAATGAAAAGCCCAATTCACTGCATGGATGTCTTCAAGTAACTAGACCGGGGATGTGTTTTGTTTTTTTTCTTTCAGATAATGCTGCTGTTATAGAATCAGGATTTTTGTTTTTGGCAGAGCAACATGCTCAGGAAGAGCTTTAATGACTAAACGGATTAATAAATAAATTCTTGTCTCCTAAATTTAATTTTGATTACAATAATTTGCCCTAGAACTCCAAAAGTAAGACTCATTCATTATTTAATGAAAAACTGCAAATTATGTTCATTTGGCACAAAATGCAGCATGATTGAATCGGCTTAATTAAGCCATCTTCGGTGACCATATCAGGGCTTGTTTCTCACTCAGATTTAGATTAAGAGCTGTGGTCCTGTGGCTGTATCATAAAAACGGTTCATCCACAGTCTGATTGCCTCCACCTCTTTTCTTTTATACTGGAAAGCCTTAATCTAAACTGACTGGTGTAACAGCCTAAAAAACATCAGCATATTGTGTGTCCTGTTAAGTAGTTGATTTTGGGAAGAAAATAAATTTCACATTGATCACATCTGGGATTCATCTTCCGGAGTGGACCAGCTTCTCAGCTCGTCTCCAGAGGGACCTCAGTATAAAAATAATGTAGATGCTTTTGGTTGGAATTTTCCCCATGTAGAAGAAAAAAATGGAAGTTGCAACCTACACAGCATGCAGTGTCTCGGGACTTAATGGGTAACTGGTTTTCCTCCTCAGGGGCTGTACCAGGAAGTCACAGACCTGCGTTTCAGGGTAACGGACATAGAGAATGAAAGACTGCAGTGTGAGAAGAAACTCAAAACCACTAAAGTAAGTGTGCACACTTAATGGATGGTTCGAGTACATGTCAGAATCACATTTGAGCATAACATGGGATCTTAGGTCCTTTTGAAATGCGTCATCGCATTGAGAATCTTGTGATTTTTTTCCCCAGTTTTCTCAGCCTGTTATCCCGCCTTCAACTTCTCTCTTTGGCTTCTGATCGTGTCCTTGTTTTATCTGACTTTAACATCTCTCTACAACACGCTAACCTGTCAAGCATTCAAAGTGGAACTCAGTGCTTCACATGAGGTGAAGTCTTTCTCCTCTCTGGCTGTTCAGAGCCTCTAAACCTGCTCCTTCCCCACTGCTGCACACTGCTTTACCCAACTCTCTCCACTCTGTAAGTGCTTCAATCCGTTCTCTTCACGGGACTTGTGATGTTGTGTGTGTGCTTTCACTCGCCGTTTGCGCTGGTCAAAGTCACATTAGACCAGTGGTGTAACCCATAACGTCTTATTAAATAGAAACCTCTGAGTTTGAAAGCTTTTGAGTGCACCATGTTTTTTTGGTGAGTCTACTTGACCTTTTTTTATTTATTTTATTTTTTTTAAACAAAGGATTGGTTTGGTAACTTTACTACTTTCCCCCACTTGAATTAGAAATAAGTTGGACTTACTTATTGTCTAACTTGCCTTATCACTCATGCTGCTCACTGACTTCACCTCACTGCATGTGTGAGGCTTTACTTTGTTTATTTTAATCTTCATGGTAGCATCAGAAAACGAACAGACCTATTATGACGATTTTATTACTCAGATTCCTATTAAACCAATTAAATCAATATTTTAACAGACTCTACATAGTAAAATGAATACATAGAAATTGAATTGATCCAATGATAAGTTTTGTGGAAGATGGACATTAAGTGATTTGATTTAATTTTTAATTTCCTTATAGTTTGGTACAAATATGAAATTCCTCTAAAGAGATAATACTCAAATATTTTTCCCATTGCTTTTCTCAAAGCCTGGTTCCACTAATGTGCTGATAAAAAATACTCGACTGGAGTTCTGGCTTTTCTGTGCGCTAAAATTCTCTTTCTAGCTTATCTCAGTATTTTTCAGTTTCGCCTCGTTATCATTTGTAAAAACCCCTTGCATCATGGTTCATGACAGGAGGAGCTGCAGCTACTACAGAGGCAGCTGGAGGAGCGGGAGGAAGAACTGCGAAGGCTGAGGGATGAGAGCAGACCAAAGGTGGAGAACAGGAATGAAGGGGGAGAAAGAGGTGGGAGATGTCTTAATAGTCCACCACATGCTTCTTTTATCATTTCATTCAGTTTAACTGTAATTCTTGGGATTTATGGGGGTTAGTTGAACAAAAACTTGACATCCCACCAATGGCACGGCTCCCTCCAGATGCATTTGTTGTCGTCTTACATTTCACACACAGTCTGAACTAAAGCTCAAGTCATTTAATTTAAAGTGCTTGTTTGGCTTTACTTTGTCTGGACGATCCAAACCCAGGGCTTGCTCAGTCCTTCCACTCACAGCTGCCCTTATCTTATCCCTGCTGGTAGAAGAGGAATGTCATTTGTTTAGAAATGACTGAAAGGAGGGTGGTAATGTGACATTGTGAAACCTGAAGAGGTGAAGCTTTTCTTTGGTATTTCCTCTCAAACAACGTGTCAGAATTATTTAATTCTAAAGAGAATTGGTTCTTCTGGATATCTACGCTCTTGAGAGATAAAATTGAGTTAATGAACCATGTTGTTAACACCATGTGTCTGACTGCAAAGTCTCCTTAAATTATGGTACTGCTTCTCATTTGGCAACAGGGGCTAGTGTTAACTCCTCTAGCAGCGTCTCTTTAAAGAAAACAGAGGCTGGTAGATTTTCAACAGCTCACTGAGAATTTTTGGAGTCTGCAGTGTTCTCCGTCAGCCATCGCACACAGACGGCTGCAGGCTGACAGACTGGAGGGAGAGTTCCCCTCTGATTTCCCCCTTTTTACCTCCAGGTGAAAGCAGGGACCACTCCCTGCCGAGGTGGCTAATGTCTCATAAGTTGGATGCAGTGATTTTTGGCCAGCCCTCCTGTCTGCTTACCTTAGTAGTGAGTTTCGAGTTTGACAGTTCTGTTTGGGCTCCTTACACACCTCAGTGACCATTCAGTAATTAGGTTGGTATAAGGATTACATTCCCTTACCAAGTGATATGCAGTTGTTTTACGTTGAAGCATCTATTTTTTAAAAACTTTACGCAATATGTGGCGCTTACTTGTTAGGAGCTTCATCACTCTGATGCTAGCAGAGCCTCGCTAATCAGCCTGCTGCCGTCAGAGCTGCTGGGAGCTGGAGCCAAACTTCCATTACTGGAAATGTTTTAGTTGTTTTTCCCTTTGCCCTCCCCAGATACTGAAATGTTAAAAATGAAGATGGTGGTAGAGTCGCTGACGTCAGACAGCGTAGAGAAGGTAAGGAGCGACACAGCTGAGCAGCAGCTCTGACCCTCTGAAGTCCTCCTCACTTTGTTTGTGATGATCCACAGGAGCTGAGGATTAAAGAGCTGGAGGAGTCTCTAATGAGGTGCAAGAAAATCCAGGAGCTGGTCAAAGGTCAGAGGATTAGACTCAGGAAAAATGTCACTTAGTACTCAATAACTAGTTAAGCACACTGATTATTTAGATGAATGGACTACATTTTGAAGGCTGTTCATTATTTCAGACATTCGTCATTGTTGGTTAATCCTCATAGTGGAGACGCTGGAACTTGTTAATCCCTTTTCTAAATTCATGTTGATGTATTTCACTTGCTCAGCATCACAGTTGGTCCTGAGTAAAGTCTTACCTCTTGTCTTCAGTTTTTGAAGAGATTTCCTTAAATATTTTTCATTTAATGAACTAGATTAAAAAAAGCTGAAAAACTAAGCCCCTTGAATTCCACTTATAAGCTTTATGGTTATTACATAACTATCTGAACTGTGTTTCTCAGAGAAGCTGAAAGAAGACGACTACGATGATATCCCTGATGATCCCTCAGTTTCTGTTTCCATGGATGTGGATCAGGTCACCCTAGAGCTGGAGGGGGAGGCAGGAAGGAGCTCTGGAGAGGTAAACAAAACCTCTGTCAAAACAGCTTTGACACAGGATGGACCCCAGACTCTCCACTTCCTTTATGAAAGCCCAATCTCTGCCTCCCACTCTCAGATGGTTTCTACCAGGAATTCAGAGCTTCTTCGTGGGTTCTGGTTTGTGCACAAAGGAAAATATCCAGTCAGTCATGTTTTTTTTTCTTTTTCTCTCTGTTCCCTCAGTCTATTCCATGTATAGCAGTGCTCTCTGAGATGAACGAACTGGATAGAGAGCGACAGTTACAAGGAACCCAGAGGTATGAAAAAACAAAACCTTTTTACATCTGTTTAGTTATTGAGAGCCATTTGGTCCAGTGTGTGGTCTCAAAGTCTTGCTGATGTGGAGTCTCCACATTTTCAAGACGTATAGTATTTGTGGGAGAACCATCAGCATTATTAAATGTATACTGTTGCTATCACACATGGTTCCTGATTCTAGATAGAATAATCCTTTATGACAGATAATTTTTCAAGTTTTTCAAAACATTTATTGGTTTTAATTTCACTCCTAGCAGTATTGGAATTATTTTCTCCAAAGCTCAGGTCAACTGACATTCATTGTGCTCACAGGAGGCACAGTGCTTCTCCTTTTCACTTAATTTATTACTTTAAACATTTCATGAATGACTTTATGGTCTAAATAAAGCGATCCAAATTGGGTTTAGTGGTAAATTTAGTCTTGGGACTACAAGGTACAGAGAAAAATTCTAGTAAAGATAGAAAAGAATGTTTAGGATTCCAGCATATTTAACGTTGTTGTCAGCAGCTGTTTTTGTTGTGTGATGGGTCTTCCAGCTGTTGTCATGGCTGTGCCCACAAGGATGTAGCACTAGAGAAGCAGAAGAATTGTTGGGCAGCATCGTACCGGGTTGAGCTCTGGATTTATTAGTTAACCTATGCAGATTTGTTTTTGATCTGAGTTCAGTTCTGGTCTGTTTTCAAAGTACTCCACTGAACACATAACTGTACTCTTGCACTACTTATTGAATTGTTTTCTGGTCATTTTAGCTGCTTTAATGACCTCCAGCCAGGCAGCTCAGCTGTAACCAGCAGCCCTGATCAGGTAAGATCACGGCTGTATGTCTGACACTACTAACGTTCTCAGGATTTAACAATTTTAAGTCAAACTGCTGGGCACATCTCTCAACTCTCCATTTGAGTTGTGAAGATGGAGGGTGAACCGGTGCAGCTGAGTGGATTCTCACAGTGCTTAAGCTGCAGTCCTCACAGGAACAGAATCCACCGTCCTGAAGCCCATCCTGCTCTGACACCTTGTGGTTAAATGTTGCAGATGCAGTGTTTCCTTCTGCCATACCCTGACTTATCTGTCCTGTACATGTTGTTGCAGGCTAAAGCTAAAGCAGCGCCCAGCTCCACTTCTCCCACCAAAGGAAACGCCGGTGAGGGGACCTTTGGCAGTAAGAGGGCACGCGCCTCCTTTGGTCGCGGCTTCTTTAAACTACGTGGAGGCAAACAGACGGCCAGTGCCCCGGACCTCGGTGAGCTTCACACATCTGACTGAATTCCTTATCACACAGATGTACATGCATACATGCATACATGCATACATGCATACGGTGCAGGAGAGGGCAGCTGTGGGACTGCAGTTTGGCACTTATGGAATTCTTTGAACTGTACTGAAACTGATGGAATCATTGGTTCCCTAAACCTTTTCCCGTGTCCCCTCATAGCTCACTTGTGTCTCATTTTAATTTAAAATGCAGGATGCTAATGCATTACATGTGTCTGTCAATGGAAAGGTCAGGAATCAATATTTTTCTGAGTGGTTTACTTTTCCTTCTTGCTCTGGTGGAAGTTGTCTGTGGGTGATACTGCAGAGCCTTCCAGATGTGTTTTATCCATAATATCAGGCCATCTCCAATGAAGCTGTTCTGGTGTTTTAGCAGTTGGCCTGTGTCGGGGAAATGAGTATATTGTTTAGTGGGCCTGCTCCTTTTTAAAATCACTATACTTACACAGTAAAATCTGGTCAAAATTATTTCTGAGAAGTGGTTTTTAAAAGGACAAAAGTTTCAAAGATTTTACTCCCTGTGGGGGTGGGCGACTGGCTATGGTTGTTTTATGTAAAAGTAATTTAAGATGAATCATTTTTCAGCTGAGACCGACCGGAAAGGCACAGAGCACCTGGACTTGGCTGGCGTTCCTCCAAAGAAATCCCACACCGCGGGTCCTCTGTCATCGTCTCCAGACACCAAGAAGAAGTCCAAAGGGTTGAAGAAATTCTTTGGCAGGTAACAGATTCTCATTTGCGTCTTAATATTCCATTTAAAGTTATCCGTAGATTATTTATATTATTCTTGTGCAGGCTAAAGAGGAGCCACTCCACCTCCTTGAACCCCGATGATGAGGCTGAGATGGAGTTCAGGAGGGGTGGAGTCAGGGCCACCGCCGGCCCTCGACTTGGCTGGTCCCGTGAACCAAAACACAAGTAGGTGCCCTCAACTATTAAGCGAATAACATCTAAATAATGTTCAGAATTCAGACATTCATACATAAGCAGTAGTTTATATTCGACTGGAGTTTCTCTGCCTGAGTCGAGTACATTTGAAAAGACTTTGTGTGTGTTCAGTGCTGTAGATGTTCCGTTCTCGCGTTGGAGTAAAGAGGAAGTCTGTGCCTGGCTCCATGAGCAGGGCCTGGGGCTGTGCGTGGCCCACGGCCAGAGCTGGATCAAGTCTGGACAGACCTTACTGCAGGCATCACAGCACGACTTGGACAAGGTAGGAGTCAAAACGCTTCTGAATGCACGGTAAAGCTGCATCGAAGAAGCGTCAATGAAATGCTTTATGGAAGCAGAAAAATCTTTAAAATGGGCAGTTGTCCTGTTTTCCTCCTCAGGAATTGGGCTTGAAGCAGCCTCTGCACAGGAAGAAGCTGCAGCTCGCTCTGACGTCTGTTGGCTCCTCAGAGGAGGATCTGAAGGGCAAACTGGACCATAACTGGGTGACCAGTGAGTGACGTTTCTAATTAAACTTGATGGTCAGTGTAGACGGTATGTTTTTTAAACACACCGTCTGCTCTCGCAGGGTGGCTGGACGACATCGGCCTACCGCAGTACAAAAGCAACTTTGATGAAGCTCGGGTTGATGGACGTATGCTGCACTACATGACGGTGGTGAGCTGCCACAACTCTTTACATGGACTCCCAGCAACTCAAATCCTCCCGTATTTTCTCTGATCTCTGACAACATTCCTCCACAGTGGAGCTAACGTGTGAACTCTTTTGCTGTTTGATCGTCCTTCGCAGGAGGACCTGCTGTCTCTGAAGGTTGGCAGCGTTCTTCATCACCTCAGCATCAAAAGGGCCATTCAGGTCCTCCGGCTTAACTTTTACGAACCCAACTGTCTCCGGCGCCGCCCCTCTGATGAGGTATCAAACAACAGCACCACCTGCATTTATTTGAAGACATCTCCCTCTGACACCCGTCCTACTTATCCCTGTTCAGAACAACATCACGCCAGCTGAGATCTCACAGTGGACCAACCACAGGGTGATGGAATGGCTGCGCTCAGTGGATCTTGCAGAATACGCCCCCAACCTGAGGGGCAGTGGTGTTCACGGAGGCCTGATGGTGAGCAGGCAGCCGTCTGTTCCCCACACGTTTACACAGACAGAACACCGGCCTCTGACCGGGACATTTGTGTGTGCGTCAAGGTGTTGGAGCCTCGTTTTAACGTGGAAGCGCTCGCCCTCCTGCTAAACATTCCTCCTAACAAAACCCTGCTGAGGCGCCACCTGGCCACACACTTCCATCTGCTCGTTGGCTCTGAGGCTCAGCGGCTCAAACAGGACTGTCTGGAAAACCCCGACTACACAGTCCTCACAGCCACCGCCAAGGTCAAGGTAACTGCTTTTAACAATCAAACATCTTCTGTTTTTAGTCCTACTGCAGCTGGTAGTACTCAAGTAAAACCAAGCTTTAGTGTCATTAATCAATTAGCAGACTGCTAGTGCCAAGAAGGAGTGGAGCATTGATCCCATAATACGTTTAAATCTTATAGTTCAGTGGTGATAAAGCTCAGGGTTAACACACTGATCTAAATAAACCTGGAAAAGCCACCAGCTGCCCTAAGTTCTCCCAGTCTGTTGAAATGGGAGCGGGTAAAGATCTGGACAGACACGGTTTCTGGTCTCTGTTCTCCCCGCAGCCCAGACGTCTGTCATTTGGGGGTTTCGGCACTCTGAGGAGAAAACGTCAGGAGGATGGAGAGGACTACGTCTGCCCCATGAATGTGGAAATGCCCAAAAACAGCAGCTTCCAGAGAACTTATAGGATCTACGAGGACGCTCTGGACCACCTGGAGCAGGTACAGACAAATTCAGCCTCACCGTCACTGCAGAACAAAGCAGGGCGTGACCTTTGAGCCGTCTGATTTTTGGCAGATGGAAGACTCTGAAGGAACGGTCAGACAGATCGGAGCGTTCTCTGAGGGCATAAACAATCTGACGGTAAGAGGCCGCCTCATTACAGCGTTTCCAAATGCCCTTAAAAGGGGGCTTCAAACTAAACTGAGTGTCCTTCCCTGTGGGCGCAGAGCATGCTGACCGATGAGGTTTTCCAGGAGGAGGTCTCAGTCTGCCCTTCAGACACCAACATGGAGACACACGTCGCCTGAGCATCAGCCTCCAACTGACCATATTTATTAAGTTTCATCCATATTATGCATGAACTAAAGACAGTTTTCCTGCATTTATTTTATGAATCTGTTGCAAATGTTTTCAGGTCTAGAGGCATCTGGGATTAAATAGTTAAGGTTTTGAGTTTAGGTGATGTGAAGCAGGTGACTTAAACGAATTCCACTCTGACTAACTGCTCATTATTAAGAGGGATGCCACTAAACGGAGAAGAATTGTTCAACCCGAGAACCGTTCCCCGTAATGCCGCAAAAGCTAATCAACAACGACCACATGGAAACCAGAGAGGTTTCTTCTTTGAAAGGAAAAAGCCAATTCTCTTTTGTCCTGCATATTTGTAATGGTTTTATTCTGTGTATTTAACTTTTTGGTAATAAAAATAAGATAATATTTGAAGAGTTTTCCTTTGAAACATACAAAACAATGATTCAGTAGGAGTTGTCCTTTATGTTATCTGAAGAGTATACCTCACTTCAGTTACCACATTGAGGTCAAACCTGACAACAAACAGCCACAATGGAAAAGTCCATCGGCTTGAATGACTGAAGCAAAGCTCAAACACTTGACATGCATTTAAAGAAAAAGCTTTGCAGGTGGTAAGGCACTCAGACAACCAGTGAGCGTACAATTCTCTGAAACTGAAGCCACAGCAACACGCTTCTAATCACATCCTTCTCTGCCCCTCAACTGAACTCAGGAATTGGTCCTTGCTGCATGATTAATATCACTGCATAAATATGGCATACATTGTGCAATACCCACTGCTTTAGTGCTTTCAGGGCAGAGGTCCTTCACATATCCAAACCTCCACATGGACAGGTGGCTAGAAGGTGAACCTGTGGCTGTTATCATGGCCAACTTTATCCAGGTTGGGGTTGCAGGCAAACTGGATCATGGGTGGAGGCCCACACATCAGGATGAGGGTGTCGTCACTGGGAGGAGGCAGGTGGTCCCTCACCATGTCTTCATTAATGAAACCTTGGCTGTACTCCCAATCTGAAACGGATAACAGCTCCAGATCAAAAATTCAATGGCGACACCTGCTGGCCAGAGTAACACATTCAAGAGTTAAAGTAAAAGAGGGGTGTGACCCTTATTTTCTTTTGCAACATTAAACACAAATACCAATAATCTGGGTGGCTTGTATAGTGGAGCCTTGTGGATAAATTAAGCCAACTAGTCCTGGTCTAGGTAACGCTTCTACACACATTTGTGATCAGCATGGCATCACACTCTTACAGACAGATGCCCTGGGATGGCACCTAGTTTTTTCTGATTTTATAGAAATACGTAATTGTTGTTTAATTTTAAATTAAATGGCAGTAGTTGACAGTTCAGTTAAGAGGAAAAATTAGGTAAAAACACAAAACAAAATTAATAGACTGAACGCAATCACTTAAAACATTTTGGCAGTGGATTCTGATTTGACCATGTATCGAAGAACTTTCACAGTAAGATACACAATACAACCCATAGGTTTACCAGTACCTACTTAAAAGATTGTTGTAAAAATAACCCATGGACGTAATTTCCATCACTTCTATACGTCTCTATAAAGTAAACCAAAAGGACTTACTGCTGGGCAGCAACATAGTGGGGCCAGTCAGTGCCCCATCCTGAAACTCTGTCTCCATAGGATGAAAAAACAGGTGCTCTGATGGAAAACAAACGGTTCTCGCATCAGGACGACTTACCTTCAGGCGCTCGGTCGACGGTGAACCACAGCTTAAAGCGCTCTGGGTGGTTGACCTGAATCTCCTCCAGTTCTTCTCGCAGAAGGATGTCCTTCTCAGTCTGTGAACAGAATCAGAGAAATGCCCATTGACTTCTGCAGAAGAAAACGACTATGGCTGGAAATGCGAGAGTGAACCTCACCTGGTTGGCAAACAGCAGGTGACACACCGTCCTGTCCTGAGGATCCTTCATCACAGCTGTGATGATCTGGAGCATGGGAGTGATCCCTGGAATACCAAGAGGACACAGTTTGTTATCAGAAGGTCTCATTTTGAGCTCTGTTAGACATATAGAAAATAGCCATATGTACTCAGACATCCCTTTTATTTTATGTTATATTCTGATTAAAAAAAGATCAGAAAGTCATTCAAACCCAATATGATGATTAGTTTTTCAGTGTAAGTAAGCATTTATTTCTAAAATAAGAGATATGTTTAATATTAAATACATTTAATATATGAACAATTAATTGTTTTATCAGATCACAATATTTTGGTCATTTTAAGGTACCAAGAAGTTGCTCCAAACATTATCTGGGTCCTCAAGCTTTGGAGTTATTGACGGAAATATGTAATAAGTATTCATATGGGAGACCCAAGAAATAAACAGAGGGTTTGAACAACATTCTCACTTTTGCTCTCAGAAATTTTTCTATTGTATCCTAACATCAAATTAAACAAGTGGTGAAAAACCAGGATTAAAGTTTACATATTTTAGAACGCTGTTCGTGTCAGTTTTCCGTAAAGATGAAAATCATTGAAATGGTGTGAAAAGTGATGGGATTTTCAAGCTGTATCAATATAACATTTGATCTTACATTAATCTTAATAGTAAATTAAGATGCCACATAATTGAAGAAATTATAAAAAGAGTAATATCTGATTAATTATAAATTATTAGTATAATAAATTATGGTACAGTGCAGGTTCTTCAGTTAAAAAAAATATTTCTAGGGAAATCACCCAGATAAACCGCTTTTTCTTTTTTCTTCAAAATTTCCAGCGTCATGGGCTCCCCCCGCCCCCACACACAGTTTTGGGGGTTTGTCGGTCGTCTCTCAATAAGGCTCAACTACGGCGATATGTCAGCCGTCACATCTGCAATCAATTAAGGGCTATTTAGCACGCTGCCAATTAGCTAGACGGCCACCAACATTCAACCGCCACGAATATATACACAAGTCACTGAGGATAAACAGAAACCCTTTTTTAAAACATAAATAAAAACAGTTGCAACTCACCGATATATCACAACAGATTTGACACTAAAAAGAAATAAAGACACGAGTGGAGCGCCCGAGTGAGACTGTGACGCTCGGCTGGAGGAGGCTACGTTAAACGTCATGACGCACAAAAACGCTGCATTCAATGTCATTACGGAAAAAACAAAGCGCTTTCCTTTAAGTTATTTTTAACTTTTAGATGTAATGTTTCACTAAGTATCAAAGCACACACTTAATCTTTTATAAACAATCTCTTTGTCCAAAATTAAAACATTTTAATTTTGTTGAACACATTTAACAGATTATTTATATAACTTTCAGTTCTTAGCTTTAAGTTAGTTGAAATTTCCTGAGATTGACTGGTGACTCAGGTGGAGTATGTTCCAGCCCCACTTGAACCCTACTCGGAATTAGGGGTATTGCAAATGGATGGATAGTTTGGACTTCTATTTTGTTGTTATGCCAACACCAGATGCTGGAAGATCAACATACTATCCATTTATCTCATTTATGCTACGCAGTTAACTGTGAAGAAGGAAAATACACCCTTCCTTCAGTATATAGCTGAGTTGGTATTGGCAGTTATCTCAATGCCTACATCCCCATTACATTATCGAATTAATGAATTTTGTTTCTTGACTAGCTTATTAAATATGATGGTTAAGTTTCCCAGTATGATAATCCCTGATTTCCATCTTAACACTCAAATGAAGTGTTTTTAAGTGTGCATCAGGGTCCAACCCAGCTTTTGTGAAAAGCTGTTCTAAAGTTCCCCTCACCTGTCCCTCCAGCGATCATGCCCACGTGTTTGGCCGACTTGGCCGCTGCTGGAGACTTTTTATCAGGCTGAATAGCAAATACACCTGCAAAGGGGGGAAGCGACACCACAAATCTTGGTTTGATTACCAGACATTCCATTAGGAAACAGACTGTCAAATCAAGAGGCTAAAGCTGGATCCACTTGCGGCCGCCAAGTCTGGTCTGTTAAGCGGCTCACCTTTGCCCTTGTACACAAGAAGTCCGCTGGGCCCTCTGAAGTCAATGGTCTCATCTATCTTGAGGCTCTCCAAGTACTGACTCATCTTCCCACCCTCTGGGAATTTAGGATTAACGTCTTTAAAGTAAATCTGCAGCGGGGAACCACAAACAACAGGAGAGAGTTGTAAAAACATAAATGGAATTTTAAAAATTAGCGACAAATAGTAAAGGTTATCTTGAGCTCTTTACTTTCACCACCAGATCCACAAAGCCGTTGTCATCATCACTGGACACTGGCGTGTAAGGGCGGACAACCAACTTCCCATCTATTTTTGCGGACAAATAGATGTGCTGCCCTGAAGATGAAAACGGGTTAAGCACAGCTTTGAAATATGCTATCTAAATAGGCAACCTAATCACAAATGTGAGAGGGAAACGGGTGTAGTCTGGAAAATATTTGTGTTTAGGACTAGAAATAATTGCCTTGCTTATTTACCAGTAGGCAGACCAAGGATGTGTTTAGGAGAGGGAAGCGCAAAACGAAACTTCCTTGTGTCATGGCTGATGATCTGAAGAGGCAAAAACACACATACACAGACACGCACAAAACAGTTATTCAAAACGAGTTTTAAGTTACATAGAAGACTCCTAACGCATGGCATCCTTCTGCAGAGAGACAGCCTGCTCACCTGTTTGTCGATCAGCCGCAGAGCGTATTTAATACTGGGGTCCTCTAACGTGATGGCAGGTCTCCTCTTGGAGAAGAAAAGTCTGAAGATCAAGTTGATGATGCCATCAAAACCGCCGCGGATCAGCTGTGAGATGAAGGTCAAAAGAATGACTCAGACCACGCCAGATAGCATTAGCTACCAACTGTCTTAGAACCCTGTGGGGCGTAGTCCGGCTAAAAGTCATTTTTAATCCTCAACTGGAATGAGTCACGCCAATTCCTGTGGGCAGGCCCATAGGAATTGGTTTGAAGAACTGTGCGTTAGCTCATGTTAGCTAAACGCACGGAAAACAATAACCCGACATGTTACGAGTCACACAAGTTACAAATGAATGCATACTCACTCCAATGATGTAAGACAGCATTTTCGGTCCGTTTACACAACTGCAAGTTTGTCTGACGGGACGGATAACGACACCGGGTCAGTTCACTGCAACTATAGTGTGACGGCGTCGCAAGCTGTCATGTAAGGCGAGTTAGCTAGCATAGACGCTCACATCCGGGTACTGCTTTTAAAAATAATAGCAAAGTTTGCACGTATTTTACTACAACTACAACAGCTATTCAAATACAATTCCGGCGTAATGTTTTCATTTTGAAACAACCTACTTGTTGTATTAAGGTGTTTCTTATACAACTCATAAGAACAGAAAACTATGGTAATAACGAAAAAGTACACCTTCTCACAACTTCCGCTAAATCAAGCATTAACGCTTTGTACCTTAACGTATATTACGTCACTTCCTTTTTGGGTTTATCAGCAAAAAAATATAAAAAACACATACAAAAAAACGAAAAACAAACATCATCACTCATATGACGTCTATTCCCGTGTAAAAATGAACACACTTCATTTGAAGAATACTGAATGATATTTTCCACCTGGCCCTTTAATAATTAGTTCCAAGTTGTATCAGAGAAGGGTTCAATTGAATATGTACAAAGGCTGGCTAAACTTTATTTGCACAGCAATCGTAGAATGTTTATATTGATGTGCAGGGGCGTCATGTGTATTATATTCAAATAAGATGCCAGGGTCAGTGTCATAAAAGACAGTGATAGAAGTGAGAAAGAGAAAATCTACAGATGAAAACATTTTGTTTTAGCTATACTTATTACTGACAATAAAATGCTACTAAAACCACCTTCCACCAATGAGATTTATGAGGCCTCACAACTGAGTCAGATCACTTTCACAACAGCTGTTTCAAATCTAGAAATCTACATAAAATCCATCATCAGCTGAGTGTCACAATGATGTGGCTCCACCTTTTGGAAAGGACAAAGGAGAGGACCTTGCCCTCCTCCTCTGGCTCCAGTACACAAGTAAATATTCACAGATGGAAATCGATTAGTGCTTAGGGTAAGATGGAGAAACTTAATCCTTTCTTTTTTTTTCTTTGTCACATCCTGCTGATACTTTGTGCCTTGTTCTCTGAATGTCCCTTAGATGGCAGTAGTGACCTTTATAAGCAAGCTGCTCTGGCTGAGTTTATGTGAAGAGCAAATATAATTTAAAGAGGAGTTTGCCACACACATAAAGCATGCAGACGGTTTTCTTTTGAAAGTAAATTATTTGTGAGTGTGGAGCCAGGCCTATGACATCATTTAGCATCAACACTGCAGTGATAGTGATGGCAACAATAATTATTAAAGTGGCTGCGGATGCATCAAGATCAAAAGGATGAATAGAGCACACGATAATCTTCTGTCTCAACAGGAAATAAAACATTTTTATTGATCATTTGTGTATATGAAGTTATATAACAACAGTCAGAAAACTCCACAGAGTGAATCACTACACAAAGTGAAACAAAACTGTAAAACACCTCATCAAAAATGAAGGTATACACAGCAAATATAACTGTCAGCGGCTCGCTGTCGCTGCGAGCGATATGGCAGGAAAAAACACCCCAAACAGTTCTACAAGATTACAGAGAAAACTTCCACACACAAAATACTCAAGCAGGCAGTTGATATACACAAAGGCAACTAGGATCTTTCTACAGCATCAGATTCTAATACTTTACACAGCTTTGCTCTTGAAAGGTCAATGTGGCTTTCGTTGGTATCACTGCGGAGAATCTTGTCACACAGAGAGCTCAATAAGCTCTTTTTTTGTCGTTTGCAATTAGGGAAATTTGGGGATTTTGATTATTCATGCGTGCTTTGGTAGGAAACGGTAATAGGAGGAGCATTGCGCCGCAGGGCAGGTAATGGCTTTTGCTTTGTAGTTTGTCCACACACATCGCAATGTGATGGGTTCTGCAATGCTGCCCATTACTGTGTTCCCTGATACGTTCACACTAATTTCTGATCGAAAGGTTCCTGCCGGAAAAATGTTCGGAGATGAAATTCATCTTAATTTGCTCTTGGTTTAATCGGTTTTTACCTTTATCTAGATCTGAAGCTGTTCTGGAGTTCATGGTAAGTGAAACGTCAAACTAAAGGACCCATTGTTCAGGAGGAATAGGTATGATTTTGGAATGTAATCAGACAGGGGAGCTTTTACTCCATATAGGGTCATGACATGTATTCATAATAGTTGGAAAACTATTAACAAAATTACTATATAGACTTTTTAAAGCAACAAAAAGTTCAAGTACATCTAATAATCTCACGGTTAAAGTAATCCACACAACACAAGCCATTTTGTACATTCAGAGTTTTCATCTCCAATATAAAAGTGATTTGAATCAACTGGTCAGAAACCAAGAAACAGAACTTGGTGAATGATGGATGAAAAACATGTGCTGCGTAATAGTTATATTTATGTCGCTTCATATTTAGATATACATTTCTGACATGATGATGATGTTGATATATACAAGGACTTTTTCTTAAGGGGACATTTATTTTGTTTGGTATTTATCTAAGACTCCCTGATACTTCTGATGCTGGAACTGTGTGCAAGAGGAGAAAACGAACCTGTGAAAAGGGAGGAAACCCTACAAAGTCAACAAGCTCCAACCTATAAGCTGAATCTATGTGTGCTGTGTCCTAACCATCTCAATAGAAAGGAGAAACGTCATCCTGGAGGGTTAGAATCAGTTTTCTTCTCGGCGACGCCACCCAAGTTAACACTATGGGATGAACATACAAGTATTGCACAGTGCTCAACAAAATGCTGTGTGAAGCAACCTGCTCTTAAAATGCGTGAAGTCATGCGACAACGCGCTCTTTCTGTCTGGCTGTGTGTAGAAGGGGGGATGGCATTAAACGCTACGACATCACTACAGAACAAACTTGCTACCTACTGATAAGTCTACATCTTTAAGCACACACGGCAGTCACAGTGATACACAAAGCAGTCCTCAGACTCCTATGGAATGACAAGTAGCTTTTTCATAATAGTGCTATCAACTACACAATAACATTGAAAACATTTAGATAGTCCTCCTGAAGCTAGCATCGAGTATATGCAAGAGGTTCCTCCAAGATAAGAGACTTCATGGTTTTCATGGAGTTTCCCTTCCCTAATTGGACCCGTAGTAAAGGACATGATGGACTAATCGCTAATGCAGACCATTAACTTTTACGGTTATTTCCTACTCTCCAGATGAAGTCATGTGCCAACAAGAAAACAAAACAGATGCAACTACTGTTGGTCGAAAGGCGGCTCTCTGGTTCCAACCGCAAGTGTCCTGTAACAAAGCTGGCGGACAGACATCCACAAATGTTCCCTAAACTGGCCGACGAGCGGGTTCAACGACATCCAGTGCAAAAAAGCAGCCACATAAAGGTTTAAATTGGCAGTAAAACATGGCTAGCTCTATTGTCACTGTGAGAAGGCAACGCAAAGCAAAGACTGCGATTCAGGGCACCACTGCAGCCAAAGACATTGTTCCCAAAAAACCAAAGCTACTACAACAAGCAAGCGGGAGTGTGCATGAGGAGGAGGTCCTCTCCATGAGTCAGCTCCCTGAAAATGGCAGTGTTAAGAAACTGAACTCGGTCAACATGGCGTTGACCCAAAGTTCCAACTCTTTTTGTCCTCTCCTCTGATTGAAGGCAAGGGGATTGTGTCAGAAGAGCTTCCCCTGGTGTCGGCAGATCTGCCCCCAGCCAAACCTTGAGTAAACATTTTTTTGAAAAAAAAAAAAAAAAAACCCGAAACATGCAAGTTACCAAAAATATTCAAGACTCTAAACATCTCGGGAAAAAAAACTGTCCCCTGAAAACCAGAGCTTTGGGCCTACGCCCTTCTAAAAAACCCCAAAACAAACCAAACGCCTTCTCAAATTTTCAACTCTTATTTAAACTTGACGTACTTTCAGCTATGAAAAGGCTGTTTAAACAAAATATTGTTAAACAAGTTTTAAGGACACAATGGCTACAGCTTGGTGCTTTATCTTCTTTCTCCACTTAAAAGTTCTGTGAGCAGTCTGTATCCATATATTACATATGAAAAACAAGCCAGGAGATGCGAAAGGGGGCCTTTTTTGTGCCAAATATGTAGAAATTAAATGCCAAGGAACAACCGTTTGAAGCTCAACACATACAGTACTGTAAGTCCTCTAATTGAGAAACAAGTACAAAAAATTGTAAGAAATCATGTGCTTGTATAATTTCCAGCAGCATAATATTTCCCACAGAACCATATTAGTTAATGGCCTTGCTTTTTTTGTGGATATATTAATCTGTTTAGTCTTTTCTGTGAAGATGTTTTGCTAAACTTAAAGCCAGACGTCATCCTTTACAATGCAAACATGATCATACTAGTATCTTGCAGGTTGGAATTATTAATTATTTTTCACTGGAATGCAATAAGGTAATAAGGTAGAATTTTTAAATCCTGGGATATATAATATTGGCTTTCCTCTATATCTGCATTTACATAATTTAAAATAGAACATCTTATTAAAAACATCAAGATATACACAGATTAGGAAACGGGTAACAACATACAAACACAAACTAGAAATCATTTTTGTCTGCATACTTATATATACAACTGTGGTACAATAAATTCTTTCAGTCATGCGCTATCTATACAGATCATATTGCTTAAAAGAAGGGGGCATTTGGTCGTGGCGGTTAAGGGGTCAGATAAATCAACGACTGCTAAATCAGAGAGAACAGAAAGAAACAACCCAAAGGGAAAGAAAGCGGGATATGGCGGGACGTTGTGTCTGAACTCAGGAGGTTTAGATGATGAGAGAAGGGCAGGGTTACATGAATGGACCCATATATCACTGAGGTATTTACACATACTAGCTAAAGAGTACTACAAGGCAGGTGCTGAAAGGGCCCTGTCTATTTCTTGGTGGAGAGCTGAGCATCCACCTCCTCTTCAGGCTTCAGAACGTGCCACTGGGCGATGGGTCTCCTGGGGTTAGCCAGCATGTCGGACCAGTGGCGCAGCTCTGTCCCCGAGCTGTTGAGGCCCACAAAGACCTTGCCGATGGCATCGTTTTTCCCGATCTTGTCATAGTCCAGAACAGTTATAACAATTTGCACTTTCTGTAGAGGGGAGAAGGGGAAGGGAGTGGAGATGTGTGAAGATACAGCACAGTTGGGACTTTGTTTAGACATCAAGAACCGTGTAATTTCTGAAGCCATCCCCAGACCAAACTTTTCCACTTTAGCTATCGCTCAACAGTAGTTTGTTAGTGGAGCAATGTCTCGAACCCCTCAATTTGTCATTTAGCCATTGCTGTCTTGCTTTTTTGGGAGCGGGAGGGAACAGGCTGTCCTGTAGCTGTCACAGCACTCACCCATCAGTCAGAACCACATAACTTCAAAGTCTTTCTCTGGGCACGAATTAAACCCCTTAAATCTTACTTCTAATGATTCCTATAGCATGTTATGACGCAGTGGGTATTTAAGCTGTCACAAAGCACGGTGTCAGTGTCTTACCTGCAGTAAAGAGAAGTCAAAATGCTCTCAGTTTGGAGGGCAGAGGAGGAAATCTGACAGTGGAGCTAAGAACCACTCAAAGCAGGGCCACAGGTGAGCAATTTTTTGCCTCTTTTACCTGTTCAAGCCTGTCAGTATTTCCAAACCATGTAGTGATTTTTTTTCACTGCACTGGCTTTTGCATCTTTTACTTACTTCTTGTCCCTCACAGCATGCTCTGTTGCTGCTCTGTATTCTGCTCTAGCAGCTCAGTGGAAGAGGTGGTGTGTCCACCGTGTTATTATTGGGCTTTAATTCCAAAGATTGAAATGACAGCGAGCGTTCTTATTTTTTACTTTTCCAGGCCCACTTTTCATAAAGTCAAAAATCAGCCTGTCGGGGCAGTGTATGAACTCGAGGTGATTTATGACACCACTGACATTTTTTCATATGAAAAGATGGAGCAGAGAGGACAAGGCCTATCATGAAATTACAGGCATTTTATAAGAAGGTTGGCCATTTTTCCGTGTCTACCTTGTCCTTGTCGTCACACTTCTATTAATCCAAACAAACCAGGAACCCATTTTGTAGCTCAAAAAATTAATATTGATTGGTACTTGATGGTGGAGTGGTTTGAAAGTATATCTGATGTCTAATCAATGAAGAGAAGTTATTGTAGCATAACATAATGTATATTTTTGTCTTTGACGCTTCATGAAAATGCATCTAATTATCTTTGGAAGCGGTGCAGTAATACATAGAATAAGGAGCTCCTTCAAGCATTAGTGTTGATTAATAGAAATAGGCTTTGGTTACTTGGAGAGCCAAACCCTGCAGAATGTCTGATTACTCATAGGTCCAGCATTCTTGCTAGTGTGTGTTTATTCAAAGATACGCTGCAAAGAGGAGTGACCTGGGCGTCAATCTCTGGGACAGAATATGAATTAGTGTACAAAGCGGTCTGATTAAGTTTCGATCCGCAGACACAGAGCCACCACCTGCATGAGCTCAGAGCCGCTGTTCTAAAAGAGCATGCCTAATACACCATGTAATGAAATACTGAATCACTTCTCCCTGATGGTCAGTTGGGGTTAGATGGTTTTTAAAGGGGCAGTTCACCTTCAAATTTCTGTCTTTTGATGTGATCAACAACTAATCATAATTACACAATGGATAGCTAATATTTTTTTATATATCTATTTTCTTATGCAGACATTGAAATGTACTCAAAAATACAAATACTCTTTGAATATGTTTTCTCCTGTGAATTTTTTTTCCTAAATTTGAGTTTAATTAAATTTGTCTTATATGTGGGTTATATGTTCATTTTGACTTGATTTTAGGTTACACTTGTGCTTGAAGTTTTACACGAATAAAACTGAATCAATAAGTTGATAGAACAGCTGATTAGTATTTAAAGCATTTAAAACATATGATGGAAAAACAAATTCTGCACAGCTACTTGTGCGTGCTGAGGGGGATTTTCAGCATTAGTCAATTTTATTACATGACAGAATAATTAAAGCAGCATTTGTAACTCCAACACACTCTCTGAGACGGCAGCTTAGATTGTTCAGTCAGAAAATCCAGAGGTCAGGTTTAACATAAATCCAACACTTTGTCTCTTGTATAAGCAGCCAGTATAAGCCGTTTCTGAAGGTTAACTGGTTGAGGAACAAACTAGCAATATTAATCGTATTGCCTGAAACATCAATAATATTGTGGGAGGGAGTGTATAATTGAGTCACCACAGCACTGAGTGTCTTCATTTAAAATCAGATGCAGTTCAGCCAGAGGCCTAAAGAGCTGTCGGTGATGAGGAGGATGTTTAAACAGCTCATTAGTTTAACGTTTACAGCAACCTCTGTATGTTTGACTGATTTGTCAAAGTCAGATGAGGTCTTTAAAGTGTGTTTAATGCTCTCTCACGAGTGCTCAATAAACATAATCAATGACAAGTTCATAATTAAATCAGTTTCATCATGGCTTTTCGTCACGTTTAGGCTACAAGGGTTTGTTATGGATGATAGAAATCACCCCCGTTTAAGTGTAGTCAGAGGCTCATATCAAACCTGTGAGTTGTGGGCTGTGACAGGCATTATAAATGTGAGTCAGTCCCCTTCTTGCCTGAAGACTCTTGTTTGTTGTAACTCTTTCCTGAGTTTTGAATTGTTAATTTATTCTTTATCATGTTTTCTGGGGGAACGGACACATTCTCTACTATTTCACTTTGTCTTTGTCTTGATTTTCAGTCAAATCATGACACTATAATTGGTTCTTTGTAGACTTGGTAAAATTCAGCAAAATGATGATGTGCATGATAATAATGTGCATCGTGTGGTAAGACATGCTGCAAATAGCACTGAGATAAATGCCACAGGCAGTTACAGAGTGCAGAGAATCACATCCACTGAGCAATTGGCTTGTCAAATTGCAAAACCAAAGCTGATTTGAACTGAATTGCCTATGATTATGCTGTTATGATGAAAAGCCTCTAAACTGATTATTTGGTAAATGAGCTCCCACTTATCAATGCTGTCATGTAACCAAATGTTTGTTGTTTTTTTATTGTGTCGTTTGTCAAAGAACGTTGCAAATGACCATTTAGCAGACAAAATGTAAGGATTTGAAGGACAAAAAAGTGTACCTGGATTTGTTCAAATGGGACTTCAAAGCTAAAGGACTCGTTATAATAGGGGTTGAGGGTGTTCTTCTTGATTGTCGTCTTCTTCTTCTTCAGCCTCTTGCCATTTTGCATCAGGTGGATCTTTGCATAAGGATCTAGAGAAAAGAGGGCAAAGACGTTAAAAACACTAATATTGAACAGATTAATGGCTTCCAATGCAGGTGAGGGACAGTAATTACAAAACATAGCCATCTGCCTCCTCTGCATTTACATCACTCAGTTAACCTTTCCCTCTCAAGAGCCTCATTGTCATCTGTCCAAATGCCATCTTGAGTGGCACCCAAGCAGTCTGCTTTGTCCACTCTTGGGCAATCATGCAGAGTGTGTGTGTCTCAAAGAAAGGAAAAAAAACAAGCAAACCACCCTTTGCTTTCATTTATCCTCCCAATTTGTTTACATTCTCCAAACTGTAATCGAACCCAAACTGTGGAGGAGAGCCAACATTTTGGATTGGATTTGGAAAGCAGGGAGCGATCATTTTCAAACTGTGACATAAACACCTTGTTTTTTTTTTATTAAGCGACCCTTTAAATGGAGCTAGGCGAGGCAGTTAATTTGCACATTCATACAGAGACTAATGAGTACAAACTAGGAACAGGAGAAGAATGTAACAGGGCCCACCGCAATTTCCAGTGGCACAATAAGGGGTTCAAAAAGATAAAAGACGATTCAGTGGGTATAGCTAATTATCATTTAATAATCTTCCTCACTACACACACAACATAGTGCTGCAAATTCTGAGCGCGTCGACTCAACCAGTCTGAAATGTCGCTGATGGCAAACATTGTACTGAGGAGAAATGAGTGTTATAGACACTAAGCTTGGTATAGTGGTGGTCGACTGAACTAATCAACATATTACTGACAAAAGATTAAACCAGATATAACTCGTTAGAAAAAAGTTGATCTCCCTATGTATGACAAACCAGGTTTTTATAACAAGCATAAATTCAAGGTGCAGCATTTTTTTTATCAATTCACACAATGACAGACTTTTCCTTTTTAAACTACTACCTAAAAACATGTAAATTTCAATCGATATTCAGGTGAGTGGGATCTCTAAAAAATAAACGGTTTTCTAGTCAAAACCAGAAGTTAGACAGTAAGTGACTGCCTTGGGGCAGGGATAAAGGTATTATTAATGTATTAAGGGCAGGTTTTGCAAGTTTGCTGAAACAAAAATTGAAAGCGCTGTGCTCGGAAACTTTGGACAAAAGGTTTCTACTTGAGCGATTCAGCTAGAAATAACTAGTCCTCTGAGGTGGGTTCTATAAAATGGAATTTGTGGAGACTAAAACCATTGATGACAGAAACTAAAAAAATAGTAACTCAAACTCTTGAGTCAGTTACCATGGTGACAGACTCTGAACTACCCAAGCCTCGCTGGCAGTTTTGCTTCAACAAATTCTCAATTGCTGTTTTTTTGTCCAACTGACATGTTTAAAATTTCACTTATAATATGGTATACATCAGAACAGACATCAGAACAGAAATACCATCTCAGTCAGCTGCACTGAATACCTGAACATGGCTGACGACTACCCTGTCAGCTGTGTTGGAGCAGAGATGGTGATCTGTAGACATCATGCATTCCTCCGCAGCTTAGAACATGACTTTAAATTATTTATAGCTTTGTCAATGTGGACATCAAAGCAGCTGTCTGCCAACTTTCCTTTGCTGAACCTACACTACAAATTACTGGAGAAGTCGCAGTTAAAACAAACCAATTATGCAGGAAAACTGAGCTGTGATTTTAATTGGAAAACTTAGTTTGATCATTTCCAACCGCAAAATACCAAAACAAGTATGACAGCGCTGAATCCTGACTTTTTAGTCATAGGTCCTTTAATGAACCAACCGCCATGTCGGTGTTCACATATGTAGACTTTACATTTTCCAAAGACATTGAATGCAAGCATTCCGGAATGTTCTGACCTCCTGCAGAGATTCCTCAGCCATCTGTCTTGGAGCTCAGCAAGAGTGTCTTTGTGCCACAGCAACAAATTATATACAGGACTTAAAGGTGAACTTTTCCCAGCATGACCAGCATCCTGTGTCCTTTGTTCAGGTGCTTCTCCTTTATATGTGAAGACCACAAACCCATCTTAAAGTTCCCCTGCTGCGTGAGCAGGAAATGCAAAGAAAGTCTGGAGTGAATAGGCTGTACATTCAACAAAAACCTGCATTTTTTATTGCATGCGCGTTTGTGATGGACAACATTTTTTTTATACTAAGACTCATAAGTTGCTCCAGAACTGCAAAAAATGTTTCCATCTCAGACCTTATCATAGTTTGCTTAAAATTGTTGCAGGGGGTTTGATGTGGCAATGTGTTATCCTCAATGGTGAAAAAAAGCTGTTGTGCATGTTTTTATTGACTTCCTCTCAGCTTTTAATTTCATTAAACCATATATTTTAGCAGAAAGGCCAAAGCGCATCAATTTTATTGATCTTGTCCTTTTATCCTGGTTGATGGATTTTTTATCTGAGAGGTTGCAACAGTGTTTTATTCAAAGTTCTTTTCCCTTCACTGGATTTCTCCAAGTGTGCGTCCTCTCACTTCTTATTTGTTGTGTATACTGAGTGCCAATTCTAACACTTATGGTGCAATGTCCATAAGTTTGCTGATGACTCAGTGATTGTGTCTCTCTACAGTAATGACAAACCTGACAATGATTTGATAATAGAATTCGGAGTGGTGGAAGAGGCCCTTTTCAAAAATAAAGAGATCAATTGTGGGGTGAATCCCACAGATATATCTTCTGTAAATATGAATGACAAGACTTATTGATAAACAATGCAGGTTCAGGGTTTCAAGCCATATAATAAATTGTTTTGTTTTTGTTTGTGTCTATTCTTTCTAACTAGGCTATCTATTCATCCACTGTGCCACGGTTGCTTTCATGTTTGAAGGCTGTTTTGTACCAGTGGCAAGAATAGTAATCGTTCTTTGAATGACTTTTTTGCCCATGCTTAGACTTCTTGGTTTTGTATAATCTTCTAAAATAATTGACGTTTTTGTTCATGTTGCAGCAAAATGTTGGTTAAAGGCTTTTCCTGACTGTGCTTGCAGTAAAACAGGAACATATCCACTGTTCCTGGCAGAAACCCTACAAGACAAATAAAAATCTGATGGGAAATTGTTTTCGATGTATAAGTAGGAGTTAGTATGGAAATTTAACTTATAGAATGCAAGTATCAGTCCTTACTATCTCCTCAAGTAAAGACAGCTTAATAATCTTTTGTGATCTAAATCAAGACCATTTTACAAGCTTCAGAGCATTAAGAGTAATTTGTTCCTCAAGGCAATATACCTCCTAAAGAGGAGACCATCACAAAAAACGGCAATCAGAGAAATTGATGACATAATCTCTTGCCTAAAGCAAACCATATCCCTCTCCAAATTCTGAATCTCTGAGTTATGCATTGGCATGAATACGTAGAAACACTCTAAATCAGATCTTATAATTAGTCGATGAAACACTGCTCGCTTGGATAATCTGGATTTATCTCTGGATCCCATATGCACAAGGTCTTTATAAAGCTTTGAGATTTTTGATCTGTGAGCTGTGCAGAAAAATATCTCAGATTTCTTATGAAACATTGTGAAAATAGTGAATAAGCTTAGCTCCTTTAATCTTTTATCCAATTTAGGGGGATAAGGACTCGACTGTAGACTGGCAGACTTGATCGGGGCAGCTGACATGAAAATAGAGAGAAAACAGCGTAAACAGAATCAGAGGGAAAAAGCAGCAGAATAAATAGACGACAGAGAGTGAAAAGGTAACAGGCTCCTAATGGAGTGGGTGTCCATTATAACTCTCCTGCTGAGAGGAGCTAGAGAGCTGGGATGAGAAAAACAGCAAAGGGGGCTGTGTGCTTGGGTTGTCACTTTGTGCAGGAGATGAATTCATCCAGAAGTATCCAAATGAGGAGCTTATCCAGCCTCAGGCAGTGTATTTCAAATGGTAGCACGGACCCGTTGAACGGTGGACTTGGTCAAGTCAAGGTCTCACATGCAAAACCGTCAAAAACCGAGGAATGGCACGGAGCAAAAATGGCTACAATGACACAAAGAGTGTCAGATTTGTACATGTTAATAGAGATTAAGAGAAGAACTATCATCCAGATGTTCAAAACACTGCCAAAGATTAAATACTGAGATAAATGGTTAAAATTATGCCTGCAAGCCTGAACCAGTTGTTTTAAAGTTCTCTAAACAACTGTAAAACAAGTTGTTGTTTTTTTTTACAGAAAACAAAAGGCTTTTATGGAGGAAATCGAGGCTGAAAAGGTTAAACTAACTGGAGATGGCATAATAATCAAGTTATTCTTAAATTTGCACTTGAAAGCTAAATGCATGATAATGTAGGTAAAGATGGTTTCTAAACCAATCAAAACACAACGAAGCAAAAGGTCAGAATCCTCATTAGTTAATGATGCTTTTAGAAGACATGAAAGAAAAGAAGCCTGCAGGGAAGGGCTGTCGCTGTAAATCTGATGAAAAATTGGAAGGGTTTGATTCTAATTAATAGTTAGACTTTTTCCAAACACAGGCTTGAAGTTTCTAATTAATAGCTGTATTTGACAAATGTAGCAAAAGGTCCAGGAAAACTAGCATTAGCGGGATGTTAAATTTAAGTTGACCAAATACTAACACAATTTATTTATTTTTTTCATTTAATCTTGGACATCAATTTGGGATAAAGTGCTATTTACTCCATCTATTGTCAGGCGGTGGTACACTATGGTGGTGCTTGTCATGCAAAAATAATTTTGGAAAGACATGCACAGTGTAGGGACTTTAATAAAAAGTGGCAGACGGTGAAGTCAGTACAGAGAAATAGGAAATGGGCGGGCAGTTACGAAGACATCAAGCTAGGACTCTTTTTTTTCTGCTCAGTCTACTTCTGGCGAGTGTCCAGTTGCAAGGAAAATGGTTGAAGTGACATTCCTCACCTTTCATCTTTTAAGTTTAGGTTTTCTGAAAAGGGCTTGACAAGAGACTTGAATACTTGCCTAAACATTGCTTCAACATAGAAAGAAATCTCAACATTGACAAGGGCATTTTTTAGTTTTTTGTGATTTTTCTAATGGGGATTAGCCAGCGATCAATTGTTATCTATTATTACACACAGCTGTAAATATTAAAGTTACAACAGCGATTGCTCGTACCTATTAAAAACATAACTGGGCCTGAAAACCACAGCTGAATAGGATTACACATGATAACCATTTCTCATGCCAAAAAAAGGAAACACCTGTGACGCCACAACACTGATATCCAGATGCTCTTATCTTTCCAGTCAGCAGATGAGAGTTTGGCATTATTGAGTTTTGGGAGGCTCGCCGTACCTCATATCCGGTCTATTTTACCGTCTGATCCCAGACGGATGTAATCTCTCCCATTTTATGGATGAATGGCAGCTCTTGTGATGCAAGAGTGCTCCTCACATATGTGTACAGCACAGAAGCTTGTCTTTGCTATTCTGAGAGTTACTCATCTGTGTCCTGGATCTTGGCCATGGTTTTATGAGGGGATGCACTATCAGTGGTCCATGCATTTCCCTCTGGAAACTAGATGCAGGTCCTGGATAAGCAATGAGCTTTGAGCAAAATCTTCCTCAGAGTTCCGTAATGCCAGGAAAGCTGTCAAAGTTTAAAATGACTTAGACTTTTAAGCACAAAAAAATGCTAGCTATATAATTCAGATGAAGATAAAGCTACTCAATCTGAAACTGTGTTAGAAATTGTTGTGCATATATACAAAACCTGACACAGAATTAACTTTTTTTAAAATAGTGATTTGATTAAGACCTCTGTAGATGCTGGCTTGAGTTGTGCCAAATGAACACCAATAAAGCAGGGTTAAATATAGCCCAGCTGTCATCTTAGCTTTCCTCCCATCATTTAGGATTTGCCATGGTGAGTGCACCCAGGGGTGACTGTCGGTTCAGTTTTACACACTCAACTCAACGCACTCATATGCATTTCACACAAACACAAGTGGATACAGTGAAACACTTCTGAAGTTCAGGCCTGTATAAACCGCCTCCATAAAATCTGATTGACGTTTCATCTTTCATATGCATTTTTCTTTGCACAACAATATTGTTTATTTTTTCTAACATTGAGACATTACTCAGTGGAATTAACCAGAGGAGCGAGACAAATAAACCCCTAAAGCTGAGAGCCTTTATAGTGAGATATAACCCCATGTCATGGCAGTGCAGCTTCATTACTTCGAACGCAGCACCCTAGCACTTTGATAACTTACCTGCAAAGCAAAAACCATTACCTGGTGTGTGCAGTCTCACAGCTGTTTGATATATCATCAGAGCTACATACGGACAAAACATTTTCAAGGTCTTTAAATCTGTTTGCCGTCATACTGAGTGGCTTACAGGTAGTTAGCCTTAGTGTCCACTACCACGATCAGTAAACTTAGATGAGCTCTATGTTACAGCATAGAATCTTAAAGCATTTTAAAATACTGTCTCTGTCAGGAAGATCATTTTTCTCCATGCAGCTGCACAAAAACAATATGACACATCTGTGGGAACCTCAGAGAGTTGTTTACTCAGAGATGACTTTATCAGGTGATTCACTTGTGAACTTTTATATCTCCATTTGGTTATATGAGCCACCGGGAGTTTTACAATTCTTCCATAACTCAAAATAATTGCCATGTACTGTAACGAGAAATTGTCTAGCGGGCTAAACCTGTCTGTAATGAGGCTGGGATTATTTTGAGACGACAGCTAAAGAACATGGTACTTGGAGCACAATCACACTTAAGCAGCAACAGTCCTGTGAGACATCAAAAGTTTACAACGGGTTCAAATGTATTCTTTCAAAAGTTTGTTTTTGTAAAAAAAAACACAGCATGAGAACAGGTTTGTGGGATGCTTCATGAGGAGCAAATCAAAAGAATTATTTCTGATTATACATTGGTTAATGATAATTCCCACATCTTCATCTGGGAACTATAATTAGGCATGGTAAACAGGATGACAATAGAGGAGAAGGCTGATCCCAGGCCATCAATTACTTGTCCTCCTTCTTAAGGTCTGGCTGTGCATGGAAGCTAATTATTGTTATTAGAGACCTACCCATTATTTCATCCATCCTCCACATATTTAAGGCCATTTTCAGAGCAGAAAAGCAGTCTCTACTAAAAGAAAATAAATAAATAAAACTTAAATTTAGTATATTTTGGTTCTTCGCAATTGAAAACATGTAATGCGCTTTTACTATATGCCACTTATTCACCCTGAAACCCCTAAGATGAGTGAACTGGGAACATTCTCAAATTGAATGTGACTTGCGGCATGTGGTATCAAACTGGTGGGCTTCACAGCCATTTCCCCCTCAGTCACAGAGAGATCTGGCCTACAAAGCAAACACATTTGCATTTTTTTTTCATAGTAGCTGTTCAATGTGGCTGACAGCTCAAAATGTTCACGATGCAAATGTGCACAGGTGATAGCTGATGCCTGTATCATAAAATGGCAGCGGGGGAGGGCTTTTTTTCAGCCAAATGGCTGCTCGTACTGGTCTCATAGATGAAAGGGAGCTCTGAGCTTCTAATGTGCACAGTGTTACTGTACTGCATGTTGTTTAGGCTTATATGGAGAGACTGGCCTATCAAGCAGCAAGCAAGTGGACCCAGGTGTATGGTAATTGCAGCAGAAAGACTTGAGGTGGGAGGGAAGTGCACAACGGGAATCTAAAATGAATCCATGGAAGAAAGTCAAAGGAGTAGGAGGGGGCCGCTTATTGTGTGAATATCTGTGTGCATGAGGGGATCTGGATGTGCATATGTTTTAGAACTGATATGATGAAAATGAAGATTCTGCCGTGAAGGAATATGTAAAATAATAAACAATTTCTTCCATCAATTTGATATTGAATAAATGTTTTCTATTTGAATAAAACTGTGTCAAATCACCTGTCTGTCAAATACCTGAAGTAAAGCAAGAGCTTGAAACATATGGAGCAAAATGCTTGATTTTGGATTTTTTTTTTTTTTTTTTTTTTTGCTAAAAATACATATGATTAATCTGTGTATTTGCTCAAGCAGGATTAATCTAGATCCCAAGGTTTTGTGTTATTTGGTTGTTCCCACGGATAGACTTCAGTGAGGTGTCAGTCAAAACGTAAGAAAGGTGACAATATTTCATATCCCAGCGCAAATATTTTCTACACACCAAATTGACTGAAAAACAATTAAAAACTACTAAGGGTGAGTCAGTTTAACATTGCAATACGAACAATTTGAGAAATAATAGAGATAACTATCGTCTTGGAAAAGTGCGTGTCATTATAAAGGCACACATCAGACCATTTGCACAGATTTTTAGAGGGAATAAACAACAACTCTGTTGGAGAGGAAAAGTGAATGCCGCAGAACATCTATAATTACAAATAAAAGACCCTGTCAGAGGAAAATTTAGAGGGTACACATTAACATCACTTCAATTGCTCACCTGATAAGCCACCCACATCCATTTTCTTCAGGTTTTTGGCTTCAAGAATGACCACGGTCAGCTTGCCAGCAGTGGGAACGTATCGCAGAGAGAAGCAAATGTCACCCAACTTCTCTTGCTGTTGGAAGGGCAGACAAATTGTAAAGGTGAGAGTTTTAACTGAAACTAAATCCAAATTTATTGCCTCACATGCTCAAAACAGATGCTCAGTGAGATTGGTAAGTTACTCTTCACACGACCAGAGGTCTAATTTGCTTTCTCAAAATGTCTGACTTATTAATGCCTACTTAGTCAAGTTATTCTAAAGCAGAAATGCTTAACATTCAGATCTGCAAGCATGTGCGTCTGCGTTAAAGGTCAATATGCAGAGCAATATAACTGTTTTCAATTTAGATAAAGATGGAAACAAACCCTTTTTCTGTACAGCTTTAATTAGACATAATCATAATTGATGATTCTTATTCTCTTACTATCAACACAACAACTGTGAATAGCATATGGACATAACAATAACCATGAGTAAGATGGGTGGAAACCTATTTCTTCAGACAAATGCTTGGACAAATATTTAAAAAATGTGTAGTATATGTTCAAAACAGGCCATCGGTGAAGACAAGCTGTCAACAGCATTAGTCATTATGTGAGTCTGTGATCGTCTTGCATAAATGGACAAATAAATTTTAAAAAATGCATTGGGTTAAAAACAACAATAAGACAAACTGGTAAAATTCCATTTCATTATCTGCCAAAATGTTGTTACAGGATATCAGATGCATAGATTTAGCTGCCTAGATTGCATTAGAATGCTTCTAAAATCTGACTTTATGCTTATTTGTCAAACAAAATTTCTGGAAAAGTGTTGCAATCACTTCACCTGTTCACAAAAATCACAAATCACCAGCTCACTCAGCAGGATAATATAGGCATCATTACGATACCCTGACGAGAGTGTGATTCATATTCTGATCGTTTTCCTTACCAACGCAAGAGGCAGACACGGTTAATAGCTGCCTCTTGGGTCACATCTGCTTCAAGTGTGGCTGTTTTGAGAGTAGGCCATAAATCAACATCTAACAAGACTCGACTGTTGACCTTTGGCTTATTTCAGTAGTTTTTCTTCAATTTCCAATCAGGGTTAGTTTCCTTATGTTTAATCAAAGTGCTCAAATGTTTGACACCCACTCATTCAATTTCTCATTTACTACACTGACTTGTAGCCACTTAAAAAACTAAAGTAAATAAATAAAAAAAGTCCTATTTCTAATCAACACAAACGCATGCTCCCCTGGAGGCTGGTGAACTTAATTATGCCTGTCGAGAGCAGTGACCATGTGCTTTATTACTTTCTTTGAACTGTGAAAGGCCAACTGCTGCTTTCTCATTTTAAAGGGCATTTTCAGAACTCCATATTTGAACTTAAAGGTAAAGAGGACTGTGTTCCTCATGTATAAATTAAGCATTTTATGTCTTAAATAGCTTAAATATCTTCTAGCTTGCTGCTAAAATATATCACGACGCTCAGTTAAAACTTTCCTTTGTGACAAAGCTTATGGTTAGGGATGGTTCAGTTGATCCTGAAACATTTAATAATTATTCCACCATAGGCCTACTGCTGGTGGACTTTTGGTGACACATCTCCCCTCACTCTGTTTCTCATTTATGCCTATTTTATTTCATGTACATGAGACATCGTTATTTTGATTAGATCGTACTTTTTATTCCCTTCAGGTATCCCTGAACTGCTGTTGTGGTGTTTGTTGTCCCTCTTTCTTGTAAGGCCCAAAAGCCAACTAGTAGAGGCAGATGGTCACCCTCCTAGAGTCTGGTTTTGCCAGAGGTTTCTTCCTGTTAAAAGGGAGTTTTTTCTTTCCACAGTTGCTTCCCGTACACACTCACGAGATTGGATTGGATATTCGAGGAAATCTGCAGATTTTCTTGGTTAAAAACGTATATTTTTCATCTTCGCTCAGTATATATATATATATAAAAACATCAAATATAACTATTTTTATTAACTTGTTAACAGTGGGTGTCAGCACTCTTGTTGGTAACTTCTAAATAGTCTTTAATGTCTATTTGGTAAATAACTGTGGAACAGCTTACCTACAAAGTTTAAAGATTTGTAAGAACATGTTCATGTTTACTCTATCTGTAATAAAAATGGAAAACTAAGAACTAGTCTAGGTGGAAAGGTGTAGGGGAGAGAGGGGAGTTTATTTATTTGAGGAATGCAAAAACATTTTCAGTGTCTATACCTCAAACAAAGTAAAGTGATTCATTTCAACTAAACAACAGTGCCATTCTATGCTGCTATAATCAACCTTTAAATTAACCCACCTCAACGCTAAAAATAAGGTATACAACATGTGCTATATGCCGTGACATTTACCTTGAAAATTGAATCTCTTGTGCTGGTGCCTAGAAAGTCACACTTCTATTAATTGAAGGGGAAGTGTGGACATATGATTAAGTGACATTTCCAGGAGAAATGGATTACATTAGCTACGGCAGTGGTTGTGGTTGGGCACAGCAAAGTAATGATTGTAATGCCACTTATGCAACGGCAATACTGTTATTACTGAAACAACACCAACTATATGTTCCAATCAGTGCCTCAGCATAAAACAGCTGTCAAAAAATGTATTCAAACCTGTCATTTCATGTTTTTATGTGAACTTGTAGCATGTGTGTAAAGACTCGCCTCCTCCTTCTCAGCGCTCTGCAGGTCCCGCCACTCCTCTGTTATGTGGCTGAAGTCCACCTTGTTCATGGGCACCTTGATGTCACCAATGGCATCGTGCTTGGAGAAGCGGTCAAAATCGTACACCGTCATTACCAGTGTCTTCCCACCAAGTTCGACATAGGGGACCTAAAGAAGAGAGAGTGCCAATTTACATTGACAGAAAACAATTTTTTAACCCATTTTAACAACCAAACATACATAGAAACGGTTTTGTGTGCCTTTAGAAGATGCCTTTTACTAAATCTAAAAACAAAATCTATAAAATCAGTAAGATCCTGATTCATTCAGAACACAGAGAAATAATCATTGGACATTATACCACAGAACTACACCAGGGCATTTAAAATGCAAAAGACTGGTACATCTATAAATAAAGCAAAAGGAAAGTCCAACATAGGATCATTCATATCCCCAAAATACATTGCGTAAGTGAACTTAAACCAGTCCATATTGATCTATGTTCCCAAACCCTAAATGTATGTGAAGGGAAATCTTAAGCTATTATGTCCACTAAGATTAATCCTAACAGCATTATTTTGAGACAGCAAAGCTGTAAAATTTCCAGTGTCTCAAAATAATTACAGCAGCAGTTATGGTTCAATCATCCACTCTCCTATGGTGACAAGAGACCCAAAATCAGGACACAATTCTTTTGGAACCAATTGGAAGCCAGTGAAGCTGGGTGAATGTGTTTTTCTTTTCAACTTTGTGTTTCAGTTTGGTTACATATCATTAATTTGTTCCATTTGTTAACATCTAGAGAAATAGGGTAAAGTTTTAGGTGGGATTTAGACTTTGATTTTTTAAAATGAGAAAATAAACATCATATAAACATCATATTAATGTAAATTACATCAAACATGTTTTCTAAGATGAGGGAAAGGCTTTTTCCTAGTTTAAAGAAGAAAATGTAAAAAGAATAAGCTTCTTGAGCAGTTCAATTCAATGTTTACCAGCTGGGCCTGTAAAAATATGAACATCTTAAAACTTACATTTGCACTTACTGACGTCAGTTTGATAGAAAGCTGAACCCACTTGCCAGGACTGACTGAGACCAGAAAGTAAAACAAAAATGTCTTATCAAAACACAAAATAGTGAAGGAGAGATAAGACTCTCTGGTGTGTCCTTGACATTATCTGATATCTTTTCACCTCATGCTTTCCCATGCGGAATCAAATATTAAAAAACAGACAAAAAGAAAACATAGTAAATCCTGCATTGAGATGGACAGCACATCACATTATGCAAAATGTATAACAAACACCTGCACCCTCCACTGTCGAGTGAATAACAAAACTTTCCTCACTACTGAGCAACAGCCATGCATCCATTATGGCTGAGGTAGAGCTGGGATGTAGCGGTGCATCTGCCTGTGTTAATCCCAATTACACTGAGCCTGAGTGTGTGTGTGCAAGTGTAACTGTGTGTGAGAGATATTCTGTCAGGAGCTTGTTAATGTGCCAGCTGGTTGCTGTCTCCACACCTTCCCAGGATTCAGGGCTGCATGCAAATCAAATTGTCAGCAGAAGCAAAAGATTTTCAGTGACAAAACTGTGCAAATATGTTTCAACATTCAGGGGACCCTGAACCTTTTATATAAGTGGATACCTTGAAGGTGAACTGCTCATTGAAGACAGGGTTGAGGGTCTTCCTGTGGACCTTCGTCTCAAATTTCTTCTTCTTGTCTGGCAGCAGGTAGACTTTTACATACGGGTCGGATGTGCCACCCATGTCCATAGCAGGTAGCTCTGCTGCCTGAATGATCCCCACTATGAGCTGAAAAAGGACGGAAAGATGTGTTAGAGCTTACAGAACCTATGAACTCCCTTCAAAATTGGTACAGAAAAATCATATCTTGGTTTCCTAAGCATGGCTCTTGGACCTAAGGGAAATTGCCTTTTTAACATCGCTATCAATCATGTCTTTCATTACGGTGTCTTAAAGATAATTCAGTGACATTTTTCTGGAATAGGGTCTCAGTATTAGAAGGTTACCACAGGAAGAGCATGACAGCCACTAAAGAGTTTGTAAAGGTCAGTATGTGTCACAGTAGAAATGAGAGGACTGTTTTTCCTCACATAAGGTTGATAATTGATAAGCACAATAGGGGGCCTGGGTGGCTGATTGACCTGCCAGTCAGTACCTCTACTCACAGGTCTCTAGGAGGTCCGGGTAGTCAGTCAATCAACTTCCTATCAGGCAGCCATCAAGCAGCAATCTGGAGGCTGACCAGGGCAGTCAGACATGAAGCTCCACAGCTGTCAGGAGCTGCATCAGTTTAATGTGTGGAATTGTCAATGATGGCGCAGCGAATTAACGTGATGGAAACAAGGGGTCTCGTTGGTTGTCAAGGTAAGGTAAATCACCAAAATTAAGAAGAGTTTAATATAAAACATAAACAGACTTAAGCCTTTGATGGCGTATGAGGGATTTCCAAAATCACTGTTGGAGTATTTGTATCACTCAGACCTATTCTCCTTAAGTTAATACACTGTGGGTGCAAAATTCTGTAAATAAGATGATACAGGCTGATGTGATTTTCGGTAAAAAAATATTAAACCAGCAGTGTTAAAATTCAGTCATTTGCCTTGCTATCAGCAATTAAGCTGATGATTATATTGTTCAAAGAACTGGAAAAATAAATTCTGAAGACCATCACTTTTTAAAGTCAATCTCAAGTAACACTTATGGCTGAGGAAAAAAGGCTTAACATTTTGTACACATGCTCTTCTCTATAGTTTGCTTGCAATCCATGTCCCTCATGACTCATAAAAACAATAATTACAAACAAAATAATAATTTCTGTTTCCAAGTTTCATTATCATGAATTTTTTTGAGTAAATCCCATGAAAGAAATAATACACATCATACTCTTTGACCACCGGTGTTAACACAATATTAAAATGTTGCTATACTTACAAATTAATGGCCTAATCCCAGTTACTGGGCAACATATTTAAATCTACTCTAATATTCAAATCTACCAAACTTTTCTTTAGTGCTAAATCTATGATATCATCAGAACCTCTGCTGTAATGGAGACATATGAAAAGCAGATGATTTGTCTTGGCACAAATAGTTTGTTGTGTTACCTTTCCAATGACGTCATTAAACTGTAAAATACATAAATGACATTGAAAAGGTGGTAGTGAGAATTTCTGCTCACCAATATCTATGCGATATCAATAGCTCATACCTGTTCATCCATGTTTTTGTTGGTATTTCTAATATATGTATTTGGTTAAAAAAAAAGATAATTGCAATTTATTTTTGCTATAAGGCACATGTCTAGAAATACAATCTTAAGAGAGGCTTTCCTGCATTTATATATTATAATTGCTCTCCAGTTTGAGCCTCTCTCTTTGCACCTAGGCATCTCCTGTACAAGGGTTCTGCTAGGATTGTTGGATTGCTTTGAAACAATCTTGGAATAAAAAGTAATCGAAATGCTAGATGCCATCAGTATGTGGATTAGCTTGTTAAACTTACACGATTCATTTTTTAAAATCAAATTTCTGTTGCAGAAGACGACGCATTTAAGCTGGTTGTTTTGACAGTCACAAACCAAAAAATGAATGAATAATTATTTAAGAAGGAATAACGTTTTAATATTCAACAAACCATGGCATCCCTTGTAGTAAAACACAAATAGTGAATATATGTTTACACGTCTGTGTAGGTTTTATTGTTTAGACAAGGACTCAGGCTGTCTCACATAGGACTGCTGGTATTAAAGCCTTTTGTTTGTGCGTTGCACTTCAGTCCAGTGTGCAGCACGCTGACTGGAATGAGCACACAGGATGGTGATTCAGCCCTTGGCAGCTTATATTGGAGGGCTTTGTCCTAATGCACTGTTTGTGCTGCAACAGTACTCAAGTACACGCTACACCAGAACTAGGATCGGCTGCCCTGGGTTATATTTACGGCACTGGCTTTGAGAGTTGTCTTGGAAATAAACTGTCAGAAGGGAAAATGTGATGTATAGTAACAATGTTTTAAGCGTCATCTTTTCCTAATGTTTTTAAAATCCCCATATTCTTACTGGACACAAAGCAACATGCCTGCTCTTGACCTGCAAGAGGAGCAATGAATATGGTAATGATGTTGAAAGTGAGAATGACACTGTAATTCTCTTCCTGCTGTGCTGAGATGGCTCTTTGTGGTTCATTTGCTGCGTATCTGCCCTCTGTAGCCGCTTGCTGCTCCCAGTACAATTTGGATCTTTTACAAAACCTTTTGACTCATTAGCATTTAAACCCGCTGTCATCAACACCAGGGGCAACATTCATTTGTAGTGGTTAACAGAGAGAAACAACACTTTGCCACAAGGACTTGACATTAATCTGAGTGTGTTTTCTCACTCACCCTGATCTCTTTGCTTCAGTTTTTGAACAACTGAACATGACAGTGTGGGAAACTTAAGGCTTTTTGTGCTAAAAGTCATGTATAAAAGCAGACAGTAGCACTTACAGCTCTATCTTACAGCTAGATCATATTTGAGAACATTCAGCATTGGTGTTATGTTGAAGCATACTGGTGACACTTTTGTTTTTCAAGAAACATAGTGTGTAGATGCAAGATTAGTTTCGAGGCAAAATTACCCCCACTGAAAAGTTTGTAAACTAGCTTTACTGACAGGTTTCAACACCAACTGTAATTGCATAAACCACAAATACCTTTAAGAAGTGGCGGTGTAAAAGATTGAGCAGTGACTTTTATTCAATGTTTTTTTTTCCTCTTTGTAACAGAAGATTTATCCTTTTTGAACATCTAACAAGTTTGCCGTTACATATGGTTGGGTAACAAGCAGAATCATTAATTACAAATACTATCATTACTTTGAATTATACTTCTCGTGATACTGGGCTGGTTCTTCCACTTGGTGCACTTAAGGTCTTATGAGCTTGTTCACAGTATAAAATCTAATTAAAAAGACTTTCCTCTTCAACACAATTGTTAAAGATTGGACATTTCTTTTCTTAAGGCTGAAAGTATTTTCACCTCCTTGGTCTATTGTTTTTCTTATTTTCTTTTAAGCTGGTGAGGTCAGTATGACTTCCTTCACATCACTGTCAAAAAATGTGAAAACTGTGTTCTAGTCATTACATTTTAGCACAATGATGCAACTCATTACCTGTGTAATCAAGAACCTCATTGGCTTGCCACCATCTCCCTCCTACATGACATTTCAACATTATGAAATGTAATACTGCCCATAAAATTTAGCTTTTATGAGAGGCTTTCTCTTACCAAATAAATAAATGGTCTGATTGACTGAACATTGATGGTGTCTGTTGTTTGTAATTTCATTAGTTCAATTATTGACTATTTTACAGGTTAAGCAAATTGTGGGAGGATATTTTCCACTACTTGAAGTGTTTCTGATAGCAGATAAGGAGACATGTATTGTATCTTTGCAAGGGTTTGTAGAGGCAGTAAGTGCAGTCTAATCTCATGCTGTCAGTTCAGTTCTTCTATAATGGCGAGTTAGCTATTCCAGCGAGGGCCAGTATTCATGCATCACCTCTATTAACTGTCGTACAACATCTGGCACAAACAAGCTGATGTAGCACCCCCCCACACACTCACACACTCCCCATTCTGCTTTTTAAAACTCAGTTGCTGGAAAAACTAAAGCAGATGGATATCAGCAGATCTGCAGGAGATGCATTCCGTCAAGTGGAAAGGAACAAATATAAAGACAGACTGAATCCAAATGGTATACTGTATCTTTTACAAAGCTCAGTGGAAAATGCACAAAGTCGTCCACCATGATACAGCCCTGTGAACATGCTCACAAACTTCAATGGACAAACTGTGTTTGCAGTCACAATGCAACACAAGGAGAATGTTGTGCAAAACATGGATTGGGACTGGTTTAATCTTTGGAAAAAGGAAAAAATTGACCTCAGAGGCAGAGGGTGACCATACTTACGAAGAGGGATCTTTTGCAACAACGACACATACAGAGTCATTTAGAGTGCCGATCCTTACCGTATTCTCTGTGAAATTGTAATCCAGGGAGTATTGTAATTTGCCAAGTTTCTCGTCCTCCTTGGGCTCGGCCTCTTTCTCCATTTCAGTCAGCCCTGTTTCTGCATCCTCCTCATCCTTCAAGGCCTGAAGGAGACACCCACCAAGAATCAGTCCGCCTGTTTGTCGTTGGTGCTAGCACCCAGCCAGCTGTTCCCTGCCCAGGGCCAGCCTGTGGACCTACTCCTGTAAAAGCTCCCACTTGTTTTATGGTGTTAAAGGGGAGACGGGGAAAGCAAGCACTAAAACACCATAGCAGTTAACACCAGGACATGCTCTGTGATGCACTAAAACCCCGAGCTTGGTCCCCTGTGGTGCTTTTCAATCAAAGACAGAGTGGTTCTTTCTGAAGGGAGGAAAGATCAAATGATGGCGCCAGAAATGAGAGCAATGAGCAGGCGTTAGAGGAAGAAGGAGAGAGGGTTGAGAGACACAGAAAGAAGCAGAGGGAGAGATGTGTCTGAGAAATATCACAGTAAGACAATTCCCTTGATGTTTATTTCAGGCAGATCAAGTCTTTGGCAAAAAACACAACTGGGAAGTGTCTGAAGTGGCAGAGAGTGAGAAGTGAAGTTGTTCTTTCTCTAGCCTGGCACTGAGGTGAGGGTAGCAGGTGGTGGCACTGGTGCGGGAGGAGAGGTGGGGTGGTGAAGGACTTTCTTATAAGAACAACATGCGATTGAAGAGGCAAATACTAGCTCTCAGTGTCATTCATTCAGTATCAAAAGTTGCTTTTCCAAGATGTCTCTTTCATTTGGCATGCAGAGCATTCTCTGTCATACAAAACAGTGCTCTTGTGTGATCCCCCATTCCTATGTCTGGTGACAACCTCAGACATACAGTCACATCGTCATCATAGCCCTACAGCTTTAATGTTACCCCCTATGCCGATGGTAGCTAGAAGCATCATGCCAGCAGTGGGTGGATAGGTGTTGGTAAAATGGGTTGTAATGTACATCAGTGCCTGCTTCTATTAGTTTGTTTAGTTGCTCATGTGAAAGCAAAAGACTGAACAACACTGATTGGGTATGCTAGTGAACAACGTCGTGCCTGCCTTTTGGGAGATCCTCCAATTTGGGAAGTTTTACTTGACATGATAAAAAAGTGGAGCAGGTAAAATGATTGAGGAAAAAAAATCCCTTGATTAAACAAATGTATTATTTAACTTTACAATTCAACTTGTATGTGACTGCTCCAGGTAAGGAATGATCACTTTCACCTGGGCTCACAGAAGTGAAGGCAAATGCTACTGTATGTCAAAAGGTTCCTTTTCATCAACAGCTTCAAAGGAGCATTTACTTGTACAGCCTCTCAATCATTCTGCTTTTGCTCACCACCACTCTTTTGAAATGTAAATCAAAGATTCAAAAGGCAAGAGACTTCAGCTTGGCACAAAAATCAGTGTGGTTCAATCTCATCAATGCACATCAAGTGTTTCTTTCATACATATATATGTGCATATGCAGGTTGTACGCACATATATACAGTAGATATACATGTACAGTATGCATAGTTACATATATTTGGTTCTATAGGAGTAATAGTTGTTGTCAAGAGGCTATAAAAAAATAATAAAAAAACGTCAGAGCAGCAGGCTTAAGAAGATCCAACAGCAATTTGGAACCTACCGCCATTGACCATCCCGAACAGTCATCAGACACAACACAGATAAGGAGGACATAGAAGGAAGAAACACAAATTAAAACAACCACACACAGGAGTTAACACTAGAGTCTGGGCACACCGGGAGAAATGACTGCTTGCCTCAGATCTGGCAGATTCACCAATCTCAGAAATGAGATATTAAGAAATCTAATACCTCTTTAAATTTGAGGAATGGTGATATGGAAATCAAACCTGGACTGTAAAAAGAAACTAATGAATATGATTGCTTCCTAACAGGTTAAGTGATGAACTGCACTGCAGCTGTTTGATATACCTTCCGGAGCTTTTTGCTGTTCACTGTTCTATAAGGAAATCAGAGTGTCTTCAAGTCCTGATTCTAATAAGTCAAATGAGGTATGAAAACATGTTCAGTGGTTTCTGTCTGTGACTCTGATCCCCCTCTGATTGAAGAGGTGTTTCAGCAAATTAAACACACTCTGTACATGACTCTACAGGGGATGGCACTATAATAATGCTGTGAAGGTGCAATTAGTGTGCCAGCTCCTTTCTAAGTGTTGGTGTATCTTAGCTTCCCATTCTGCATTGTAAGGTTAAGGTTGAGTTTGATTTAAATCCTTCACATTTGTTCATTGTTTGGTGATGTCATTTCTCTGGGTGGGTACCATTTCTTTACAACTACTCACACTCTTTAACAAGTGAGCAGGTCCTCAAACGATAAAAAGAAACAGTCACAGGAACCATATGCAGGAGGAAAAAAGACATTGAAATATTCTTCTAGAAATTTGAAGTCATCTTAATGACTTCCAACAATTCGGCAATTAAAATAACTGAAAGAGTTACTGTGATGAAAGGTTTCATCACATAAAGAAGCCCTAAAATCATAACAACATAACAGAATGTTGAACACAGCCAATGACATAAAACTACAAAACACAGATGCAAATATTTCTTTACTTATTTCTGCAAAATAAGCATCATGACTCTTTCACAGTATTAAAAAAAAAGATTCAGCTAAAGATTTCAACATTTAGCGTGTCATTTTACCTCGGTTTTGGCTCCATCTGTGACGTCCTTCATGTTTATGGCATTCTTGCCCTTGTCTTTTCCCTTCTTTTTGTTTTTCTTCTTGAATATCCACTTTTTGCATATGCAGAAGCAGCATGCTAACACCAGGATGATGGCCACAAAGGCAATGGAGACAATGGCCCATGATGGTACTGTGGACAGATCAGACAGGAAAGAGCTTGTTTTGGGTGTCTGGCGTGAATAAAACTGCAGACACAGACGGAATAAGCAGTGAACTATTGCACAGCTGAAAAAGCACAGATTACACCAACTGTGATATGAAGGCAGAAATTTGTGCAACATTTGGGATCATCACCTGATGTTCATCAAGAAGTGGCGATCTCCTAATGATCAGCCTTCCCTTACATGACATAACCCGACTGGACACATTCGTTCAATTTAACGGAAGTAACAGATGTTGTCATTTTCCACTTGCCATTTAAACAAAAGATTCTCAGAGAGCTGACACTTTCACAGCAATCAGCAGCAGCATGGAACTCACCAAGAGTGAAAGCAATTGTGATTTTACAGTGTGTGTTAGAGATACATTCGCACAGGTGCAACCGTGACAATCAAATGACGCAGTAAAACCAGATGAGATCACAGAGCTTCTACGGTTCAGACCCCCTCCCCCCTCAGAGATAAGTTTTTCTAACCTATAAAAGTTGGTATTATCTAGGTATCCTTTTAAAGGCAACAACCAAACAGGCATGGAACCAGAAAAATGCAGTACTGCTCACAAAAACAAGCACTTCTCTGATAAAACAGTGCAGCTCTTGTGTTGCATATCCATCAAGCAATACGAAGATGTTAAATTACTCCAGCAATGGTTTTTCAAGTTAATACAAGGTTTTTTTTTTCTTCTGTACAATTTTTTCTTTTAACCAAATCTGAAAATAACGTGAGCAATCTGATATAACTGTCCATATCACAGTCTTGTTAAGTAAATCTTTTAAAAACAAATCTAAATGGCATTTGTTTTCTAAACATTAAAGCTAACAGTCAACAACTCTCTAACAGATTAAAATGCTTATAATGTCTTCCGTCAATACGTTCTCGGAGTCAAGCACACATTCACATTTTTTGCTATAAGCCCTTAAAGTGTTCCTCCAAACTGATGCAACAAGGAAATTAATCAGACATCCCTACAAATATTCTAAAACTTTTCAGACAACTATAAAAATGTAAACTCTGTGAACACAACGTTTTAAGCAATCACCCTGTTTGCATAATGTTTTGGATATAAAACTGAATTTCAGCTTTTTTCTGCCTCTTGATCAGCTCTGACCTTCACCAATCAGCTTAATCAGCTCTCATTTTTAAAAAGAGAAGGGTTTCCAGGATGTTTTAGTTCTACACAGTAATTTTGTTCCAAATAACTGAAAATCAGTACAGATAATCAAATCTAGGATCAATTCCCCAAGCCATTCATTAATTTATAATTAAATTGCAAATCAATTAATATCTCTCATGAACAGTTTCCAATTTTCTAACTAATTAATCATTAAGTGTAACTATGGTTTCATTAGGAAACAGTGAAGTAAAAAAAACAGAACAAAGCCGCTCAAACAATTATTTGAATGTAATTCATGCAGGTATATTTTTTTATTATTAAGACGTGAGTAGCAAAAGTTTCTAGCAATTTTATATTAAAAAATTATTATTATCTGATTGATTTAGCAACCAAATCAGAGGATTTGGTTGGGATTTTCTTTTGCAAATATCAGATAATAAATGACAAGTTGTTGTTTTCCCTTATACACAAACTGGATTAAACAGAAGTAAATCCTGTCACCTTTACACTATCACACACACAACTCAACAAAACAGTGACAGCCAGATGCCAACACAGTGACAGCCGTCTCTGCTCTACTCAGCCACCAATTCTTAGTCCTTCCTTGTGACAAAAAAGAATGCAGTGACACAAACACAAGGATTGAAGGAAAAGTGAATATGTTTTAAGTACCAGTGGACAGGATAAAGTCCAGATGGGCTGAAAATAATGAGAGGCCTCGCGACAGACTTCCCTTCAGCCGTTAGTTGTTTCTCCGTCCCAATCAGGCACAAAACACCTGGCAGGACGCTCCGCATTGTTAAAGAGACAAGCTGACATTTTAAAAACCCAGTTGTAAAAGTATTTGCAATGTAATTAAGATAATGTTCAATAATTTCCAAATCCTTTAAACTGTCCATTTCATCAACAACTTTTCAAAGAAAAGATAAGATGTTACTGCTGGATGTTGCCATTGTTTTAAAAAAATTGTTTACAAATTTAAAGAACGTTTTACAGAAACTTTAATGTTTGGGAAAAGCACTTATGGAAGCTCCTAATTTGGTTCAATCTCAACAGGTTAATTCTGATAAAAACTGTATCGTGAAACATTCCAAAACAGCAAGAAGAGATACAGAGAATAAGGAAAGGTCTGACATTCTGACAGATTTGGTCCTGCTCGAAAAGATGAATCACATAAGACCTGTCATGCTTCAGATTTTAAGAATTAACCCAACAGTGCTCATAAATCCAAGTTAATTGAAAGCAGGAGCCCAGTTAAACACAGGTACTTTTGAAGACTTTATCGAGGAAAAGTCCAGAAAGACCCATCAAAAAGTATATTATAGTATATCACTTGAGTTTTGCTCACTAGTATTCAGCTGTGGTTCCTTTGCTGAGGTCTGAGGGGAGAGAAAGAGGGGAGACAAATCGATTCTCTGTTGACAAAATCAATAAGCACTCTCTTTCAAGGAAAAACTGTTTGTGATGCTCTAAAATAACTTTAGGATCTACAACTCCGACCTCGGCTTGGAGCGGTGTGGCAATGGAGTTGACACTGGATAGGCCTCAAATACGATGAGCCACCTAAAACCAGTAGTATTTCCCTTGGAAACTTGACCGATAAGACAATAGAAGCTGTTTTTGACTTAACAGCTAAATACTGTGGGAAAGATTTCAGCTTTCCTTCTTGACTTTAGGGTTTTCACACGAATCTGGTTATATTATGTTATAGCTAAACAGTTACTAAAACATTTTTTAATATCTTTTTTCTTTAAAAGAAATAAATAAATTAGTTATTTTTATTGGCTTAAATCCAATGTATTAATCTCCAAGGCCGTTTGATTTTTGATACAGAAGAAATTAACACTGGTGACTTGAAACCCTGAATGTATGACTTATTTTGAACGTAAAAAATTCAGACCCAAAGTAAAGTCTGGGGACTTTTTAATGGAAGTGTCAGAAATGTTACAGGGTTTGAGCAGCTGAAGCTTTGTGAAAAGCAATCACCTCTCTATGGAAACTTTAGATGGTGATTCCCCCCTCAAATAGAAGCTTTCATTAGCAGAAATCAGAATAAAAATACTGTAAAAACTTTTATAAATGCTGTATCACTCTGCAGTTGTCTTGGCTTTTCATTAACGCTCAAAAAGCCAGTTAGAAAGCCATTTAAACAGTTACAGTGAAAATCAATGCACACACTCAGTTTTTATCTTATTCATCAAACTCACATCTTCCAGTGAAATGCATTTCTGTGTTCCTTAATTAAAGGAACCTGAGTCCCAGAAAGCAATAAAAGCATTCCCTAATTAACTACATTGTGTGAGTGTCTTTTCGAGAGAGAGAGAGAGAGAGGGAGAGAGAGAGAGAGAGAGAGAGAGAGAGAAAGAGAGAAATGGAGCGAGAATGTGAAAGATAGATGGAAAGGCAGCATTGCCAGCATGCTCGCTGCACTCCGACTCTCCACACTTATCTGTAGTTCCGCTGTGTGACATGGTGTGGAAAATGGAGTTTCTCTAATGGGAGGGCTGGGCATAGTAAAATCCATGTTTGCCGGTTCTCTAGGCTGAAATCAGGTTTGTGCTTGCGCAATCCATCTCTCTATAGCTGTCTCCACATCATTTTAGATCTGTTTTATTCAGAATCTATAGTCAGAATAAACTCAGACTAAACAAAGTTCAGTATTTTTTAAGTTACAGACACAGTTATACATTAAATATCTGAAAGACAACCAAAAAAGATTGTTTTTGTGAATGACAGGTCGACTCTGCATGTGCACACGGACATGGGAAAGGAACAGGGAAAAAAAAAAAGCACTGAAAAACTGAAAAGTCGAGCAGACATATCCACCAGCGTGAACATTTTGTGAAGACTTTCCTGCTTAATCTGACTCACGCAGGTAGATAGAATTGAATCACACTACTCTCTGCTTACTGCTCAAGCAGGAGTCCTCCTAGTCCTTCTGCTGGGTGCACATGTGCTTTCTTCCCCGTTGTGATATGGATTGGATAGGAGTGTGTCTGCAAGCTCATCCTGGGTTAGAGACGATGATGAGAAAGGACTAAAGTTCTGTGTCTCTGTTGATGTGACAGAGCAGCATTACTAAGAATGGAAGCTGAGTCAGAGGCACAAAGAGACTTGTTCTGTGGTGCTTGATGTAATGAAACCAACTGCTTAGCATGACTGTCCAAATAAAACATTTGTTGAATGAAATATTATCATATCCATATTAATAAAAAATTCTAAGTTTCTTCTCTGTGCAAGTTAATCTCTTCGCAAAAAGAAATATGTTCTACCGCGACTAAACATCATATTTCCTGAACGCTTGAACGCTGCAGTGCATATTTCAGATACAGAAAAGCAATGCTGCCTTTTCCACGCTCAACTGGCTATCATAACTTTAACATTCGTTTTGAAATGAAAAACATGAATATATTTATTTTTTGAGGAGTTTATACTGAATTAATATAGGGAAGTTAAAGTTTGTTGGTTACACTAAGTACTTAATCAGTGTAGCTGTTTGACATAAATCAAAACAAGCCTTAAATGGCATGTGAGATTAGGCATTACAAGCTCAGGCAATTAAATCTGTGAAAACAGTTTTTATTTGCAGGCGGTTAATGATTTCTAAGTTAAACTGGCATTTGAATTATGATTGTCAAACTTAACAAGTACAGAAAATGACATAAAATGAAGAAGGAAAATAGAGGAAATACAGCCAAATAGAGAACATGGGCACAAAATAATAAAGCTGATTAGGTGTCATGATCCAAGGACAGCCTCTTTGGAGTATGGATCCACTAACTCCTTTTTCATCAAACAGCATTAGGTTTTACCACTATCTCAATTAGATGTCTCTGTTCTGTTCATCTTAGAGATTTAAAGGACTGCTTCATTCATTCTCTCCTTTTTCCTGATAATACAGAGCACTTTATATTACAGAGAGGGGTTTGAGGTTTGATACATTTAGAAGGGCCTGGGTCTGTATATGAGGGTGTTACATTGCATCTGGGTTATATCCACTTCCAGTGCACTCTAATTCAGTGTGACAGGACCCTGTTGGTCAATTAACCTTGACATTATATCTTGTTATGCCTACGAGAGTAACACTGTAAACAGCCTTTCCTCACTGTGGGTTGCATAAGCCAGCAATGTGACTGCAACAATCTGCAACTATGACTACAGGCTGGTGATGTGCTCAAAGATCCTTTGAGTGAATCCCTCCTATTATATTCAAATAGATTTTTCTTAAAGGAAACACTGTGGTCAAATGAGTTGATAAGGGGTAGCATAAACCACAACAAACTCCTGCTTAATACAGTGATGCAAGCTGACCAAAAAAATAAACCAAGCATGCATTCTCAGTTAGAAAGAATATCTGGTAGATGTCCTTTAACTGTTTTTGGAACTACAGCGGGTGTATGGCTACAGTCAAAATCTTGACAAAAAAAATCAGCAGAGTAAAGACGAGGCTGCAGTGGAAGACTGCAAGAAACAAGCATCTGTGCTCCTTCACTGGCCTAATCCTCAGTTTAATAAACTGTTGTCTGTGAGCAGCCACAGTGTTAAAAAAATCCTGACACTTTCAATTCTAATCTTGGTTTATTTCTGTCTTGATTTAGACTAAGGGTATAGTAGTGGGATTTTAGTCCTGTAGTCTGTTTTAGTTCAGCTATTGTATTTGCAACAATCAACTGTTGATATGAAGTAAGAACCTTAGGTAAGATTGAAAAGTGCCAAGTTAGTGTTATCATGCACACAAAGGCTCTCTTTAATAATGACTCATTTTGTGAAAAAAGGTTGATGGCTATTTGGAATTTTGTAACAGAAAAAAGCATTTTGATTTAGTTTGTTTCTACTAGTGAGAATAACAGTGCCTTTGGCTTAACCTAAACCTAAAACATTAGTCATAATAAGGGAAGAAAGGCAACATTTTTTCTTCAAAATGCCAATAATTTGTCTCTCTCTTAGATTTATAGCTGTTAGAGCCAGCAGATGTAATTCAAACACCCTCTTTGTTTAAAGGTTAACTGAAAAGCCTTGGCTGTTTTTAAAAACTATTCCTATAGACTCTTTCTCTCATGAGTAACTGTTCTGTTCAATAAACATTCACAATATTGTTTTGTGTTATTACTGTCAGATGTCAGAATGCATGTTAGAGTGCATGTAATAATCTCTGAGAGAAACACTGGTACAGATCAGAGCTTCCCTTTGTCGCAAAACAACATTTAATGCAACATAATCACGGTGAAATGTTGTTACCACCAATTTTTTTTAGCTCTGATTCATCTGTTTTCCCCCCCTTTTCTTACCTTAAAATGAGTTTCCTTCTCTACTGGTGTGTTACGTGATGACTGACAGAAATTGAACAGACATTTAGGAGAGCCTTCATGAATCCATCTTTAAAAGCCGTTTGAGCTTAAACTGTTACATGCCAAAAAGAAGATCTTTTGCAGCCCTTGAGAAGAGGTGGATGAAGCCACTTCTCCTCTCATACATTCTTGTTACTTTTGCTGCATGATTTTCTCCAGACGGTATCGATATTCCACAGAGTAAACAAGTCTTTGGAGATTCATCATCCTCTTGGCAGAATCAGGGAGCAAAGTCGCTGCTTTTGATTGAGGGGATGAGGTGGGAGAAAACAGTAATAAGAAACCAGAAGTGAGGCCCTGCATAACTGGAAAGACTGTCTAAAGATGAGGTACTTTTTTTCTTTTGTTTTTTTGCAAAAAGGTATCAGACAAAGATCAGACAATTTAAAAAGGAACTGAAAAAGAGAATATATTTTCTGTTCCTTCTATCATCAGAAGGGGCATGAAAAAATGTTATGGGCTTGGACTAGATTTGGTGGGAATTGACTTTGTGACATATTTAATGCTAAGCCAAAGGCAATATCAAGCTCATCCAATATCAGTGGTGAATACACTTGATCCAATTCATTCAACCCTGGCATCATAGATCTTAAAACTATTTCCATTTTCAATCAATGTCTTGTTTAAAGCTGTAGCCATGATAGTTATTTGTATAAAAAATGATGGCTTTACTCTGTGAAATTGCTGCCCTGTGCAAATAAGTATTTCTCTGACGGTGAAATTATTACTACTCAGTCTCTGGAATGGTGTTGTTTGTGTCCTTGGTAAAAAAAATGTCACTTCTCTTCCATCGAAGCCATACCCACTGAGATATACCCACATGAGCCTGTTTAGAAATCTAAATTTAGGATTCTGCTGAATGTCAAAACACTTGGACCTGCAAGCCATACTTCATCCAAATAATGACAACCGCATTCTCACATACTTAACACGGAAAAATTCTCCAGGCAAAGTACTTGTTATGTGTTAGTCTTTTGTTAGGCTTGATGATAAAAAAAGACAAAGGGTGTTGTGTTAAAGTACAGAAGCTAATTTGACTGATGGTAAAAGCAAGACAGAAGAACAGAAAATCCATCACCAACAAGCAAATGTCGAAGCTTAGATTTATCAGGTCAAGAAGTCCTGTTTGAATTGGAGAGGAATATTTCAAATGGGATTATAAGTGACTATTCTATCTGAGCCATGCAGTAAATGGATTATTGTTAATATGTTGAGTCAGAGGCATCACAACAAAAAGATGAATAGTTAATTACTTCTTTTGAATGTCTGAAGTCTATAAAGGTCATGGCCAACCATGTTTATTGTGCATCATCATCAAAAGTTCAAAACACTCGTGAATCATTTTTGAGTCATCGTTACAACCAGGATACCACAGAATGCACTGAATTGAATGAAAAATGTTAAAATACTGACTGAAATCACTAATGTGTAGCACAATTGTATATGATGTCTCGAAACCCCTTTTTTATGAGTATAATCAAATGAGCCAAATCCAACAATTTTATAAATCCACCAAATGTATCAGTTTGTAGCTAAAAATACTGGCAGTTGTAAAGTCTCCTGTCCTCATTTAGTTGAGAGTTTCTTTTCAGCACCAAAATATCATAGGAGTCCTATGTATGTCAGTAATTTTACAGTGGAAAAGCTGGAAATGCAAAGCAATCGAACCTCTGGATCAGATACGTAAACAATGTATAAATATCATTAATCTTTAAACCTAATTAGTTAATTATTAAATAGCAGTTAACAGGAATCACAAGATCAAGCAAAGATCTGAACATCAGCTGCCGTTTTGGTGAATATTGCCTAAAATCCATGTTTGGCTGCTATTGCTCCTTGGAAGACTGGCCTGACTCTAAGGTTATCGTGTTTGTGCAGCAACATGTCTGAAATGATTTTTTTCTGTAACACTCACTAAATAATATAAAACCAGAAGTTTGAACAAGACTAAACAAACCTGAAGCATTGTGGAAACCAACCAAAGTATTTATGGGGCTAAATTAGAATTCATTTTATGTATGCTGTGTGACATTTGAAGAACATTCAATTCCACAGGGAATTGTAGATTCACGTATACATCTGCCTTCGATCTAAGGAAGTAACGGGATGATGATGGAGAATCCTAAACAGACTGCCTAACAGATGCAAGCTGAGGGTATAACAACAAAGACTATAGATGTATAAACACTGTAATAAATGGAAAATTAAGGGAAGGCAAACTCAAACAAAAAAATAACAGACCCCTTACCAAAGAGTGGTTTTACTCAACTATGGAAATAAAAGGTTTTGGTAAATCAATTTTACAATATGATAAATATTGGATATTGATAAAAGCATATTCTTTTTGAAAATGCCACACCGTAAACCCCTTAAATTGCACTGTTAGTAACTTTAAAAATGTCAAACTGTACCAGAAATGATACTGAGATCTTTAACACTAAGGATAAACAGTACTTACATACTTAACAGTATGATGGGGAAAAGAAAAATATTGAGTTTCACAATTTGGACTGCAGGCATTTACTTTTGGCACTTCAGGTGGGAACGGGCAACTGTGGAAAAGGACACTCACATGGGATTTTGTTCAGCTCATTCATGAACTTGTTTTTCAGCTTGGAAAAGGCTTCATCCTTCTCGCCTGTGCCCGGGCCGGCCATGTTGGTGGTGTTGGAGCCAGCCACGGAGGAAGAGGCGGTGGTGAGAGCTGGGGCTGCTGCCGCCAGTGCTTCCCTTCGACTCTCATTCATCGTTGCGATGTTGGGCAGCCAGGCAGATGCTGGACAAGTGGAAAAAGAGATAGAGGAAACAGGCTGGGTTAGATTTGCAATTTTTGCTGCTGTGACAGATGCATGTCAGAGGCAGCGTGCTCGTCCTGTCAGATGACTGAGCTGACACAGACCGTGTGAGCAGCTGCTGGCTTAGGCTGAGTAAACATCAGCTGGGGTCTGGGATGAATTGGCCAGCACTCTGAATTCAGAACAAAGCTACTCAGTCATTACTTAAACTCCAAATTAACATCACATAGCAGCCATAAAATGATTATTCATTATTCCCAAACAAAAACAAGCTCTGAATCTCCTTCTGCCTTAATTGAAATTCTCTGCATCCACAAGTCATCTGTAAGTGATGCACATACTGTGAGGAACCATGACTCTTGTACGAGACATAACTCTCTGTGCACACCAGGTGTGTTTACTTTCCATATTGGTCTTTCCTGTGGGTAGAAAATGACAACATATCTCTCATGTCAGCCTTTTGAGTTTGAGGGCTCATGCATTTCTATGTGTGACCTGTGGCCCGATGACGCCTTTACCCCAGACATGTCAGTCATCACGCCTCTCAGTGTGGGAGGTGGATTCCACGTCCAGTTTCCACATCATCTCAACACTGCTAAACAGCAGATGGCCATACATTAATAGGACACATAGTAATGGTGGAGCTAGTTCCAAAATATTTACTGTGGTACAACCATTTCAACCAATTCATTTTTATTCAATTGCCCTTTTTTTAAACATCAAAATATGTGTTAAAAGTCAGAAACCAAATATTTTAATATATTTACCACCAAGTGAAATATCATGACTGAAGACAGTCGCATAGAACTGCTTCACCCTCACAATTCTCCTACTGACTGGAGTTATTTATTGTGTACTCTTTGCTTTGCAGGTTGTAATTTGCCTTTGTCACCATAGCAATTTAAGAGGATAATGGTGTGCTAAATAAAACCAGTACATGGTGAAGATTGATGGCCTAATTTTCTTCCTCTGCCGCACTCAATGCTCCTTAAACACTTCAATATTTTTTCCATTTATTTCAGTGTCAAATATGAAAATGGTATGCTACCTGTAACACAGGCGGTTTCTCCATGCAGTCATTAAAAATGTCTAGAAAAACCTCTAAAATAGTCGGTTTATGATATTTGATTTTTCAAAAATATATATTTATTAGAGATTTATTGGTCTAAAATGCATCAGATGTCTAACATTACTCTTAAATATTTGTGTCAGTATACTAAAGTTTACTAAATTCTATTACTTAAAGCATTTGTAAACAGGACCCATTTTGGTCCTATGATCTTATTTATGATCTTCCCTGCAACACTGTCTTCATAAAAGAGAATTATGAAGTCAGCTGTGCAGCTTTATATGTGTAACTGTCTGGTGGTCTACTCCCCTTCTTATTCTGTTCTGACTGTAGATTGAGTTGGTGACATAATATATTCTCTCTCTCTCACTCAGTCTCTTGTTTCCATGCCAGTCTTTGAATTCAATCTGGCCACAATCCGGACCACTGGAGTGATCAACTAGCCTGGCAATTCATGGCAAACCACAGACTGAGACAAATGACAGGGCAACCAAGAGCCAGCAGGTATGGGGGCAGTGAGTGTGAGAAGAGGTTGCCTGAAATATTTTTGATAAGTAAACCAGAGGAAACATTCCTGGTGATTACTGTGGTGCTTTGAGCTCAGCCAGCAACTGTAATGACAACAACTTCCCAACTGCCAGAATAAGAATCCTTGGCAACTAACAACAAAAACTGGTGGGTCCATTTCATATGCGAATTGGAGTAAGATTTTATAGGAGTATCACCAGGCACTGCTGATACCTGAAGCGTTGCAAGACACACTCCCACATAAATTAAGACTAAGAAAATGTACAAAGAAAAAAAGCTGAAAGTAGCGATGAACAGCCCTTGAACCTTGGCAGCACACTGGTCTACAGCGCAATCCTTTCAGCCGTTGGGCTATCTTCAGTACTTGAGCTTAATTACTGAGAAGAGAAACCCCAGAGAAAAAAATTACAGTGACACTTCGTGTCATTGTTGTTCAACAAGTGATGTAATTAATCTATTCTTTATTTTAAAATGGGTGTATCATAATGTTAACCTAATACTCTAAAATCTGAATATATCAATGGATAACAAATGACATGCGACTACAATATAGAGTACAAAAAAGTACAAAAGATATGAACACATTTCTACCTTCTAGTGCCTGTTTGATACTTCATACTAATGCTGTGGTTTTGTGATACTTGAAATGTTAAGTGAAATTACCCCAGTCAACATACTTTGTTGTTTCAAAATAAGAATTTTCAATTGCTTATCATGCTTTTACATAAAGATGTTTTGCAAATTGTTTGTGTTTTAAGAATCACTTGTGAGTGGATTGAAATAAATTGTGAACAAATGTTACAATTATTAATAGCTTCTTACAGCAAACTAAGAGGGGAACCTGGTCTTGTCTTGTGAGATGGTCACCTTGTGAAGATGCTGTATGAAAAGCTCTGCTGACAGAGACTTGGTCGAATGAAGGAGGATTTCCTTTTCAGCCAGGTCTGTATCAGAAGTTCATTTTGATGCAGCACATCTCTCTCTCTCTATTCCTATAGACTTTGAGACAATAGCTTGTCCTCCCATATTTGGTAACCCTGGATCTGTACATCTCTATCTGATATGCACTCTTCTTTCAATCTAGGCATATAGGCAGAATATAGTTTATCCATACCTTTTAAGTCTTGTTGTTGTCAATCAAATGCTTCAAATGTTTGCTTCGGATAGGACAGTCTATACATCTGTGTTACTACAAGACACTACAGGACAACAGTATTACTTATGGAAACAGTACAGTATGAAAACAACAACTGTTACTGGAACTCATAATTCCTGTTTAGACTTTGGCCTGGAATTTGTTTAGCAAAAGAAAGAGAATATAAGCAAATATGTTGCCGTCATGAGGTAATGTTCACAGATCTCTTTCTCCACACTGAAAGCTTCATATCACTGCTCTCCCCAGCTGTGATTTTAACACTTAGCTAACACATCTTTAAGAATATCTCTTCCAATTACCAAAAGAGACATCATGTTGTTAACAGCTGCAGAAATTATGATGAAAAAAAAAACAAAGTCTGTAATCAAAGAAAATATGATTCATCAAAGGCAGAGAATGGCTGTGAGTTTGGTTACCTTGGACTTCTACACTTCTGACGATTGAATGAGCACCTACACACATTCACGTTAGTTCAACCCCTCCTTTGGTCTCCCTTTGAAATGTTGCAAGGTTAGTGTGGGGGCTGATCCATTGAGAGGCCTGTTTGGCAGTGACAGAGATACTTCAAGGTGAGGACTTTAAGGGAGCACAATAATGCTCTGTATAGTGCATGTGGGAGGCTCCTTCCATCGAAAAGAAATTGTGCCTTCAGTGTGTGAATGTGAAACGGGATGAGTGTGGAGTATTTCTTACAAAGCTTACATCTGAAATTCAAACATATTGGTTCACCACGCTAGTTAAATATGCATAATTCATGGGAACTTTGTTTTTAAGAGACAGTAAATACATTAATGGATCTGTTAAATAGTGAGTTCAAATCGTTATGTAAATCACAAGAAACAGAATGAGTCTTCTTAAAAGATATCCAGAGCTTTGACGTCAGGTAATTTTCCTCAGGCCTACAAGAGATTATGCTTCTCTGTAGAAAAAATATAATGGACATGAGCAATACATCTGGAGGACCACTGATGCTTTCTGTTATACCTCTAACGTCAGATCTCACATCACGGAGATACAAATAAATATTAATTAAATTCCTATTTGTGCCTTAATGAAGTCTTGCCTAGACAAGAATAGGATGCTAACCGTAGTTTCTTCATTGTCTACACAGGCAAACAGCAAGCAGTCCACTTGAAACCCAAGCTCATTAAGATCTCGAGTGGACTAAAGTTTATTTATCTTCATGATACACTGGAATGTGATGACCTTCATCCCTCTAAAAGGACTGTCACCACAGAGAGATCATACTGTGAATCCACTTCATCACAAATTGAATATCTATTCAGTAACTATTACATCTTAATTGCCATCTGCTTTCAAAATATTCAAAGGAAACAGAACTCTTACATATTTAATTTTTAACTGCAGCTTGCTATATGGAATATTTTGGCTTCCATGACCCCCCCCCCCCCCAAAAAAAAGACATGAAAGCTAAAAGGGCTTTATGTAAATAGGAGGGCATCCGTTGATCTAACCTCAGCCATCTCTACACTGTAGGATTCAGCACACTGCTGGTCTCTGCTTTTTTTCTTTGTAGTTTCAGCCTTCACTTTGGAGGTGTGCCGCTCAGGTGTAAAACCCCAACCCAATTACAGAGTCGCCAGATGGCCCAGCAGGTCCCCAACCACAGTCGTGATACTGGCACGCAGCTCTCTCCTCTCACCTCTCCCTCTCCTCCTCTAACTGGGTCAGCTCTCTTGCTCTCTACCTCCCTCAATCTTTCTTTCCATCTCAGCTTCCATCGCTCATCCTGTTATGCTATCCCAATGATTTCCCACCTCCCTAAACTGGATTGTTATACAGTTAACGTTATCATTTCAGATGAGTATAAAGAACAGAAAATGGGGAAAATTATAATCAAACTGTGATTAAAAAGATGTTCACAGCATTTTTTTGTTCAAATTTGGACAGCATGTGGGAATGTGGAATTCTCTGCTCCCTACTGGGTGCAGCTTTGGCAAGCTTTTTCAGTGTGCCGGGTGTTACATCTCATGCTGTTTGAGGAAGGGGAAAACTGCCAGAGCCGTCCAAACCAAGGTTTGATGGCATCCATTTTGCCATCAAATTTTGAAATGAGTCACAGATCACAGCCGACTGAATGGTGTATGGTGCAATCAAGAAAGCAGGACAGAAAAGCTGTTTTTTACTGTCATTTTCCTTGTGCCAGTTGACTGTTTTTCATGAGTTAACCACCCAATAAATCACCAATTAAACTCAACTCATCAAGAATTATCTGCTAATTAGCACAAAAATGATTCAGCAGTTGTTATATGTCAGCACAATTAAATACCAATTTAACACAATCTGAGTCAACATGAAAGAACCCTCCCATCTTCTTTTTAAACAAAGACATCTTGTCAATATATAAGTAGTACACAACATTTTCAAATTATATGTTTTTGTGTATCTACAGTAAATATATTAAAAATGAAACGCGTAGAAAATTGGAATAAAGGATTTTTTTAACACGCTAAAAGTACAAAAGTGATGCGGCACTGCTTACTGCCAGTTAAACTGCAAGACAAAAAATATACTTAGGTTTGAAATATATTGAGATGCAAAATACAAATGTAGAATACAAAACACACATGGTTAATAAAAAAGGCCATCAACCTATTTGTATTAATCTATGTTAGAATTACTGATTTAGAGTCACCCAAAGATATAAATCAGTGTTGTATTTTGTTTCTATTACACAGAAGACAAACAGAGGTGGATCTGTTTTGTCAGACATAAATAAAACCAGCGAGGAGACACTCAAATGATTGTGCGATAATCAATAGTCTGGACCAGCTGGTGCTTCGACTAAACAGCAAACCCAATAACGAGTCAGTCAAGTACGCAAGCAACAAATAAAGTGAGCACGCTTAACATGAATCCAGCAATACTGTTTCAACAATTAAATGATAATTAAGTCTTATGATGTGCCTTTCCACTCCTAAGTGTGACAGTGTTTATTATTTACCACCGAACAGTTGCTTGAAGGTTTTAAACCAGACTTGATTACGCTGTAAACAAGGGAATTCCTGCTGTTTAGAGTAATCCTCTAAAAGACACTTAGACAATGCTTGGCAGAACTAGATAAACTAATAATCATTGCAAGGACACTTGCATGATCCAAAGGGAGTGCTAACAGTGTAATTACAATAAATGACATGAAAGAAAAGAAGAAAAAAACTTGGCCATTTTAAGCTCTAGTTTGCAGGCATAACAAAGTACCATTATGTTGAACTGGGGATATTTTCAGCAGATACATTGTAATTATCTTATTCATTCCATGATTTAGATGTAGCTTTTCATTCTCCAACAAAAATGATTCAGTATTGGATGATTTTGGATCTTTTTCTTGAAATGAGTGTCATAGAAAAATATGGCTAGGACTTAATTATCATCTCTGTTAGCATTTCTCAGAAAAAAGTATGAACCAAGGTCTTCTCTTTGATTTTCTCTCCCCCCAAATATTACTGCTATTAAAGAGTTGTGAAAATGGTGTGGAATATTACTTTCACAATGGTTTTCCGGCAGAATGAACCACTCAAACCACTTTACACTACATGTCATTCAACCTTTCATGCACACATTGGTGAATACACAGTTAAGCAACATGGGGTTTAAATCTCTTCATTATATTTTATCATATATTATATATATTACGGTATATTTTTCATCTTCAGACATGACCACTCAAACTCTGCTAAAGGATGATGTGGAACATGTTACAGTACAAAGCACATAATCTTGAGTGGTAATTAAAGCAGAATGGACTGTTTATCTTTTGACCAATATGATTCAATATAGTTGAAAAAAAAAGTTTCTTTGCACATTTGGCTTGGCGAGGAAAGTGTTTTTCATAAAATTATCTTGCAAAAAGAAATATTAGAAACTTTTTTCATAATTTTAAGTTCCTCTCAGTCAGACATCTAAACACGTTTGCAGAAGTAATTATGAAAATAAAATTGATATAATGATTTTGCCATATATTGCATTTTTCTAATCTATTTGAATGAGAAATTATATTTTGCACATACACCAGTACTTTACAGGGTTTCTTTATGGATTAACAACAAGATTTTTTATTCGAATCAGCAAGTCAATTCAGATGAAAAACTACAACAAACTTCAAGAACAAAACTCTTAGAACATTACTTCACTGATGTTTGCAGGAGCAAAGCCCCTCTAAAATTTAGAAATGGGTGTTGGACAGCGAATTACAGACTGTCAGTCAAGTCTCCATGAGATCTGCCAGGCACTCATGTGTTGAGAGGCCAGTGCTTCAAGCCAGTGTAGCCACCCATGTGCGCACAAGAGAGAGGTCTTTTTGTATATTATAAGTCACATAAATGGCTGTAAGGTGAGCTGCCTGCAGAGAGCAATGATAAGAGGAGGCTGAGAAGGCCCTGTGGCCACTTCTCCTTGTCCAGCAAAGCCTCTTTACTCACCTGAAGCCAATCTCAGGGGGTAATGGAACTGGAAAAAGTTATTAACCCCGCTTTACAGCAAGGGCAGGACAGCTCTATTAAGTCAGTGCACAAAGATTTCTCCATTTTCAATTACTGCTTCAAAAGCAATAAGGAAAGTTGGAAAAAATCTGCCTTGTTGTCTGCTACGGAGGAGGACTCGGGAGTCTTAGATTCAAACACCTCTTATCATCCACTCTTGTCCCTCACACGGTGGATGTCCTACACGCTCACTGAGTTGTTGCAGGATGTGTTCAGTCTATTTATATGACAAACATCACAAGGAGCGGCACACTCTGGAAAATGGGCCTGTCAATCACTTCTAAATGTGAAGCTAGGAGCTAAGAAGCAAAGTAATAGGTTGTGAAGCCAACAAAGATGTCAATTTTGGTTCCTGATGTTGACAAAGTGGTATAAATTCAAGTTCATATAAAAAAATTTAAATTCAGTAAAACATTTTAATTGAAAGCAAATACAGAATTATATTTTAGCAGTAAAATGTCTTATATTTAAGTAACAGTCATATTAAGATGTTACAGTGGATTATGTGAAGTATTGGGAAATGGACTGCTAAATTTTCTAAGAGCTGTGTTCACTGGTTGGACTTAAAAACAATAAAACAACAAAAAAAAGAGGAAAAAGTTTAATTTTCTTCCCATTTTTATTTTGATCATGCTGATGGGAGCTTGAAATGACACCTTCTAGTTTTGCCGACTTTTACCCTTGCTTGCGTGCTTTATGTTCTGCACACAAAGGGGGGGATTGGAGGTGGTTGAAGGCCAGGGCTAAAACAGCAGCGCCTGGGGAGTTATGTCTGTTGGAATCATTATGATGTAGGAGGCAAGGCCAGGGGCCATGGTGCAAATACTGGTCGGTGAGTCATGCATGTGCAGAAGGGCCATTTGCTCAGTTACTGTCTACATCCAGTGTCACTCTGTGGGGAATTCTGCATGGCAACCAAAGACTTTGTGACAGGCAAAAAATGAAAGACAAGGTTTTTAAGTTGAGTAGCATGACTGAACTTTGAAGTATGCATTCCAAACGGCTACAGAGAAGTTTATTTTTTAACCTTTACATACATTATTGTAGTTTTGTCACTTTCTTGGCTTTTTATGCAAGGGGATATGGACAGACATAACAATTGGTTAAAATATAAAAGTTCCATCAAACACTTGATTTGTCAGCACCACAGTGATGAGATGTGGATCACCACCAATACCTGACTTACTCATGTTGCACCATGTTTTCTGTCCATGTGATTGTAAATAAACTGTAAGCTAGTTTGATATTGTTGATCCATTTCAAAGGTCACAAAAAGTTTGTATTGGCAGGCTGCATTTTACATGGGTTACTCAAACAAAGTGTATTTTTCTAATAAGTGTGCTTGATTTGATCCGATCTGAAATCTGTAAACAATTGCCTTTACTGGTCACAGCAAAACATCTGAAAACAGACACCATTGCTCATCATCTCATATTTCTCAGTTAACCAGATTTTTTTTTCATAATTTGCGTTGCTGTTGGTTTATATCACTTTGCTCTGCGATGTGAGAAATTTAGAACAGATTTTAAGCCATTTTCCTTAATCATCAGGCAAATGTATTTAAAATGTTTCACAAACAACTGTTAGAACTATATAAGATGCCAGTCAACCGCCCCTTGACATTAGATTGCACTGCTGCATGCCATTTCGAGAGTTGAAAAACTCTTTCACGTACTCTAAACTTCAGCTCAGTGGAGAGATGACCTATAACAAATGGCCTTTTGCTTTGACTTTATTTAGCTTCCACCCTCAAGCTTCATTTTTCCTCCTGCCCACCCATTCACACCTCCCTCTGTTACACCCTGCTGGCTGCAGGGCTTAGCAACAGCAATCACAACTGACACAGTTTATTAAAATATATAATAAAAAATAGGGGTGTTACATAAAAGTAGGACTCCCCCTAAAAAGATGTTCACAGGACAAAATATTTAATATCTGTGTCAATATAAAGTGTATGAAAAGGCTTCTTTGTTATTTGTTGTTTATTTTGCAGCATACAGTTTTGCTGTTCCTCCTTATTAGTTGCTGATGCCTTGCATCAAGAACACAGGTTCCTCGAGCTGCTAATGTTGCTCTCTAGCAGATGGTGTTTCAAGTGCTCTTTCCAGACTCTTGGCAGCTGACCTTTTAATTCTGTTTAGAGTGTGGGGTACGTGCAGTATGCCGATGATGTAGCTGTGGATTAGTTTAAACAAGAAATGGTTAAGCACTTAGTGACTAAGACATGAACAGGAGCTGGCTCATCAGAGCTGACAATTGAAAAAGATCAGATTTAAGTGGAAATAACGTTGTATTTCAGATGCTGTTGAAGGCTAAGCAGATGACTCAAACTTTTCGCTCATCAGCAACATGTGTCCAACCCAGATTTTCAATTGTATTTCCATTTTCAGATATACAGATATATTATCTGATTCACAGCTTCACAGGAAATAAAGAGTGTGACTTTCTACTTCTAAAGTTTGTGCCGTCAGGCTAGATGACAGTGGGAAAAAATGCATCACACATGTTAGAGGGGAAAAATTTTAAGTCACAAAACATCAGCATTTATCTGACAGAATAAATCAGCTCTCCGAGGACATATTCACCACATGCGCCCACGTGCTGAATCTAATTGACACTTTGAGCAGATTGGTGGTCTGATTTCACGTTTGAGTCACTGAATCTCTGAGCCCCCCGTCTTTTTAAACACACACAAATTTGTACACATGCACACAAAAAGCTGGCAGGTTTCTGGTTTGATGAAGGTGTCAGTGGGATGTGAAAGTGTGATGAGAGGTGACAAATACTTCAACAGAAATAACAATCCAAGTGCCATCATCTGCCATTTCAAGAAGATGTGAATGAATTATGGCAGAAAACTGAGGGAGAATAAAGTGATGAGGAGGATTATTCGACAACTGTGCATTAACTAACTTTCACACTGGCATCTTACTTTTTCTCTTGATCTAGCCATCATTCTTTCTTTGCATTCTGTCATCTTCTCTTTTTTAGTCATTCAGAAGCTTCTCGCCCACTGGATATTCTTCCAATTGCCTACAGCCTTTCACAAAGTTTCCACCCACACACTGTTTAAAAACAGCATGCCTGCCAATGTTCAACCAGCTCAATTACTCTTTCAAAATTGCAATTTATCTCTGGACAGTTTCAAACATCACAGAAAGCACAAGGTAAAGGATCACATTAAATGTATCCTATAAATACTAAATCGCATTTCACCTCATCCACTGAACTAAGAATCAGTTGTCAGATTGTATTGTTTAACACAACAGCTACTCAAAAACACACCCCACAGTGCCATTTTTTTCTTAAGAACTGACACTTAACTTACTGACAGCTGTGGCAGCCTGATAGATTACACCGTGTGTTGTTGAAATAAATGTGGTTTGTGGACAACACAGAGCATATCACTTGCCATCAGGCATATGTGACACCACATGAGTTTTGTTTTTTATCACCATGACCACAGGTTTTAAAAAGGTTCACAGCAACTGTAATTCTTTTTATTGTTTTGATATGGCGCATTTTCATAAAACTAATATCAGGAAAGTACAAGTGTCATTTAATTTTCCCTTAAAAAAAATATGCACATGGCACGAATTTGATGGGCAAAGCAGAGAAGAGCATTCAAGAGATTCATGTATTACCAAATCTGTGGATTAGAATCAGATGCAGCTCTGTCAAGACGACTCGAAGAATTGGGTCGAAACTTTGGAGTTATACATGCTAAAGCAGTGAAAGTAGATACAAAGATGTGGTTCAAGGTGAATATTAGCAGTGATTGAAGCAGTGTTTGATTGTTTAGAATTTCTTAGAATTTCTGGATGATAAACTATCAAAGAATAACATGCAACAATCAGAAATGCAATTAACACATAATGTGATTATTGCCCAATCTTTTCACGCTCTAGCTGTGAATTCTATCTCATCCTTTCCTCCCATCTTTCTTCCACTGACGTAACTCAGGCATGACTCGTCACGAGAAGAGTACAGGATAAATTAAAACATGCAAAGGGTAATCATTTCCCCAATGAAGATTGCAATTGCAATGTGCCAAACAACAGGCAGCAACCAACATCTAAACACTTAAAGCTAAACAATCCATTTACTGGTTTTGACACTGACACAGTGACCTAATTATGATGAATTCTGAATACACAATAAGCGCTCAAAATACAAGCATCCAATGCGATAGTTTTACTTCAGGCAATAAGATAAAACTCCTTTCTACCTCCCACCTAGAGTGTGATAATTGTCATTAATAGCTGAAGCCAAACCTGCAGTGTTTCCTTCATGATGCAATATAAAATGTTTGAATAGATCTTGGGTACTGTATCGTACTATGATTGAAAATAAACAAGGTCTATGGGAATAGAGGTTATTGAAAACCAAGCATACTCAGTAGTAGTTTAGTTGTGATTCGCATTAATCCATGTACATTTGCATTCTTATCCAACAGTAATATTTGACACAAAAAGCAAGGTTTTTACAGATTGCTTAACATTGCTTAACAAAAAAGCGAGATTAGGTCTTTAGCCTGTTCTGTCGAGGTCTACCGTCTAAAAATCTGCATGTTAAGTAGATTGGTCATTCCAAATTGCCCTTAGGAGTGAATGTGAGTGTGCGTGGTTGTTTGTCTTTGTGTGTCTCTGTGTGGCCTTACGATGGACTATCGGACCATCCAGGGTGTACCATGCCTCTCGCCCATTGACTGCTGGGTTGGGCTCCAGTCCCCCTGTGACCACATTTGGGAATAAGTGGTTCAGAAAATGGATGGATGGAGGTCTTTAGGGTTTGTAATTTTCTGGTTCTGGCTGAATTCTCTCAGAATTTGTAAGATCATATCTGTGTACTTTCCAGAGAACTGCATCTCACACACCACTCTGATAAGAGGATCAATTCAATTTCAACAACCATGTGAATATTAATTCCATGTGTACTGGCAAAATTGACTCCTGTCATGGCTTCAAGAGTCACAGAATCCCCTGGCTTCACCGATTCCTCATTTGCAGTCATGCTTCAGCACTTTTTCCCCTCAAATATTTTTACAAAATACAAGTGGGGATTCAAATATGATGTTTGCTCAGTCACATACAGAGCAAAAGCTTTCATAGATCACTGACTTAAGCACCGAGATGACAAACAGATGCTGCAAACACTTAAACATTTGTCTATCTTTTTGGTTATCATTGCACACATATCATTCCCATTTTAACACTC